TTTAATGGATATTATTAGGCGCAATAAATCAATAACGTTTGCAGCCCCCGGACCTCAAAGGGTAAACTTTAACAAATAAGAATTTATTAACATAATAATATTATGTCAAAATTCATCCGGTTTTCTGTACTAAAAAAAATAAAGTTTAATATTATTTGTAGCTTGTAAGTACTAAACGAGATTAATAATACCACGAGATTACATTCATTACCTATTCTAAACTATAGTCGTAGAGATCAATGTTTTACAAAATGAATTATTTTATTATTACTTATATTGTGTGATATTTTAATCGAATGAACGATTTAAAACAACTATAGGAAGTGTCATCACATTTCAAGATTTTATTATTTAATTGAGACATTGACATAAAATAGGCAAGTTGTATTCGCATGTATGTCATTTCAAGGTAAAATACGTCATATTTCTACGATACGTTTCAATGGAAGTTTTTAACATTGATTTTTATATAATAAACAAATATTATGAATGAAAAAGTTATATCAACGGTTTTTTTTTTATTTCTTAATCTAAATACATCACGTGTTCCGGAAACTGATTTCTAAATATCACGAGTGTTGTATTGAAAGTGCATCATATCGTAACGATAAATCGCACAGATATACACTTATGATATACATATTATACCCATCACATACTAAAATATTATAATAATTAAAGACCTACATTTTTATTATATTCTGAGCCAATCGATTAATGTATTTGTTTAACTATAATAGGTATTTGTTTTTTGTCTGTAATCATTTTTGATTTAGTTGGAATATTTTTCAAATTTTTTTTTAGTTTTCTCAATAAATGAAATGCATTGTTGATTTTTAGGTTATCTTGGTAACAAGGAAAAAAAATACAATTAATAAGAATATAGAATACTTATATATAGAATATATAATATAGAATACTATTTTATCGTTAGCAATGGTTTATCGTTGTATTCATATATAAATTCAACTATTCAATATAATATCCTCCCTTACAACTTTTCTTTAAAAACACTGGCACATCCATCGGCAGTATCGGTCATTTTTTTAATCATCGTTACAATTTATTAAATACAGGTTCATTTAACGTGAATGGTACTATTTTAATACTATATAGAGTCTATAGCAGAGGTTCCCAAAATTGTTTTCCCCGTACACCACTTGCCAATTTATTCTGTTTTTCGTAGATCTCTTAATATCATTACCCCTATTTACATCATATACCCTCCCCAATTTTTTTTTCGATGACATTGTCCCTTTGCAGGTCAGAAAAAAACCACTGGGGTCTATCTTATACTTGTCCTCTTTGGAACCTTTGGTCTACAAAGTAGATTGTAGACTGTATGGTGAATAGCAGTTATATTAAACTTACATTTTTCATACAGTTTCAGGAAAGCGTTTGAAGTCCTAACCCTTGATACGGCCTTGCATGGAGTTATCTATAGTTATTGGTCTAAGATCTCCAATAATTAAAAACTAAAAATTGTAATATAATAATACTAAAATTTTGAGTGTTCGATCTGGTCTGACTTGAACGATTGCAAACGACTAGATGAATCAATGTCGACGAAAAACAAAATTCGAAAAATCGTTCGAGAATAATTTTGTTTTAAGAATATATAATATGAATTATACCTCATTGTGTAATTTATTTTTGTTAGCATATTATCAATTCGAATATTTTAATCGTATAACGTTTTTAAAATTTACAGTGTGTTTTTTTTTCTGAATGCAGGTCATCAATCCTTTTTTTTTGTCAGTAAGTCAAGTAAACCATATCTCACGCTACAATAATAATATAATATTATGTACATTGAATAGTAGATACCTATCAAACCGGGAATATAAAAATATGTGTATATATTAGTATATTTTGAACACAATTGACGCACGAAAAAACCTAACCTAACTTACTATGTATTATGTGACCCATGCTACTTCCTGAAGGTTCTATATGAGTTTCTTAGAAACGAAATAAGGTTATTTACAGCCCTATATGGCTATAGATACTTAATATGTAAGGGCTTTAGAGCCTAAAATAAATACAAAATTACATTATTTACATAACTGCTAGTGACATGTATTATAAAGTGTTACCACTGGCGTATGCATGGGAAGGTTGTGGCTTATATTCTCTCCAATTGGTTTAAAAATATAACAACTATAAGCGTAATTTTTAGTAATTTTAATTGAAATTATTTTTTATAGTCAAATTAAAAAAAAAAAGCTTGATGTATTAAATACGAATTGGCGTTTTTGGATCCGGCTAAAGTCTCATTGTTAGGTTATAAACAACATAAGAAAATTCTATAATTTATTCATAAATTAAGATTATTATTTACTGCATCCCCTTCCAATGAAAATTCTTGAACATAACATACACCATTGCGTTATACTAAAAAAAAAAATGTCAAATTCATCTCGTTGCAGTAAATGTAAGGTTTTTTCCGTGTTTTATAGAATAATGTTTTAGAAGAAAAATAGAGAAGCACACGGAAAAATATAACTAGTTATACAAATAAATATGTATATAGTTATACTAACGAGACTCGATGGTTTAACGGGCCCGGTCACAATGTTTGTTTTCTTTGTCCGTTTCGTGGATAATTTAGCTAATAAATCATTCCGTTCTTCAGCAGTTGCAACTCCCCGTTTGAAGGGAAATTATTATACATTTTATAAAGAAAAGTATTTACTACGGCTACGGCAATGAATAATTTCTTTTATATTTTTATTTTTTAATATATTTTTAACGGTTAAAACTAAGAGAATTAAGTGAAAATATTTTTAAAAAATCATTCGCAGAATCCGCATATAGTAAATAACTTCTTTTATAAAATATATAAAAGGCTCCTTTGCCCTAAACTCCATTAGAAAGTTACAATCGTGGAAGTTTGGGATGCCTTTGTTGTTCGATATGCTAAGCACAAGACAGACAGAGAAAATAAATATTGTGACAAGGCCCCATAACCAGTGTTGTTTTGGAAGCCATATGGGGGTATACGAAGTATATTTATTTACCATTTGGTAAATTAGCATATACCATGTAAAAATACTACAAATACCGTACGTATAACTTAAAGTTCAAACCAAAACGTGCGTATAGCTTGTATACGATATGCGATTTACAAATAAAGCAATCTATATTTTGTATAATTATTATTGTTATTTTACGATTAGATGACATTTACCAATTATCTATAAGTATTACGTTAGAACTGTATAAAAAAATAATTAAGATTGGTTATTACCATGTACTGGTATAGATATAATTCGATTTTTTATATTCGGTAATAGATTTTTTGCTGGTCGTTGATGTGAGTTCATTATTTTACAAGAGCTCCAATTTGACAGTAAAAGAATTACCTATATGAATAATTATGTGATGCATAAATAAAAATATACCAAACTGAGTAACAAAAAAATTATTTGTATACAATTTACGTATTTATAAATGTAAACTATGTATAAGAGCCTCACAAAATAGTAGTTCGCGAATGAAGCGAGCGGCTTTTTGAGTGGTTGAATCTAATTAATTTTGTGTTTAGAAAATCACGAAATTTGTTGCTTGATTAAATTCATAAATTACTGTATACCCAAAAGGTTTTTTACGAAAATTAAACTGCCCATAATTTTAGATCAACAAATTATATGTTATTGTTTTATAAACGGACACACAAGAGACAAGATACAAGATCATATACTGCGGTGGATATTTCTTCAAAAAAAAAAAATACATTTTAATACGGTTATAGCATGTGAAATGGTCGTTAAAAATTCGATAGTTGCAGGATATTAAACTATAATAATATACGCCGCATGAGAATTAGTTTCGTATAAAAATTCGCGTTAAAAAAAAACAGGTTGAATAAAACGAATTTGTCAGATTTACATAAAAAATATGTATATTATATATTTAAATACTTAACAAAATATTTATACAAAATCTATATACACACTTAAGCCATTACGTAATATGATGGAATTTAATTACTACGGCAGTACAGATGAAATGGCTATGAATGCTATGGTTATTATTTTAATTCAGAGTAAATATTTTAGATTCTGAACGAAGGGATAAATTTATTGGTTTTACTATGATGTGTTATTTTTGTGTCTGTAAATTACTTTTCCACCAGCAATCTTGGTCTAATCAAAAACATTTTACGAATTTTCTCAAAGAATTTTTGATCTTAGTGGTGCATTAAAGAGGATTACCTCTTTTGTATATTTAAGGTGACTTTTTGTTGATTTCCGGGTTGCCTTGGTAACAAACGGAAAAATACGACTAATAATACTCTACTCAGAATCGGTTTTCAGTAGCAATTGTTTGCCGTCACGTACATAATATACATTTAATTATTTCATACATTCTCCCCTCGAACTTCACTTCTAAATCAGTGAAATACCCATCAGCAGTATCAGCCTTTTGGTTTTTGTATAGGGATACGTTATCTGTATAGTTTTTCTCGGTATAGGTCATCGCGAAAGATCGTCTCGAATTTCACCATTCACCAATTTCACCCATGTTAGGGGGAGATTTGCCCCTATATACTATTTCTGGCTTTAAGTTGAAGATTTTCGATAATATAATTATTGTATCGTTTCGCTATAGTGGAAAACGGTCCGGCTAATTATTTCGCAAAAAAAAAAAAACACCTATTTATCGAGGTTATATTAATTGATAATATCCCGCTAAAAACGAGATTATATATTACCTAATATATATTCAACGTACGACCCGTCCAATATAATACGGCGATTTTTTTTTTTTCCCCCGAAACTCGTACACGGTACACACCCTTGTCCGGCCGCGCAATATAAGACCTCGTGTTATTACTTATACCTGTATTCAGTATTGAGCTCAAGGTAACGGCGGCGAGAGGTTTATACTTATCGCGTGACCGGCGGTGGTCAACGGTCGCCAGCAGAGCGCGAGGGGTGTTCCTCCCGCGCACGGTCTCCTCGGACGCACCTTAGTTGGTATAGTATTGCCGGCAAGGGCCGACCACGACTGCACCGGGTCTCTCGAGAATACGCCGGGAAATCTGTCCCGCGTCTTCGCCGTTTTTATTTTCGGCCGGGTTCACCGTTTTCCGCGTCGAAAAAGTGAGTACGAACCTTTATTATATACTCGCATTGTACACACGTAGTTAGGCTAAGGATTAGATGGGATTTTATTCTTCTCCCCTTTCCTCCCGCCATTTTAAGGGATAAACATACAAGAAATACAATATTGAATCACCCATACGTAATCGAACGGCGAATTTTCAGCTTCATTAAAGTGTTTACTTTTCAGAATTACCTACTATTAATATAGAATAATAAGAATTTCGCAAATTTCTCTGACGGTACCTCAACAATGTCACTCTTGACCACGAAGTTCTAAAGTAATATTGTACTCCATAATTAAAGTTATATGTTTTTAAAATTCATTATATTTTTTTTTTAAATTCTAAATAGTGAGAAAAGCATGAAAATCGTCTACACAATATTATCTATAATACCTATAATAATTGCAAATTAACATAATAACATTATAGTTTATTATAAGCATAAATTATAGATACCTACCTGCCACCAAGCACATACACTTGGAGAGGTTGGTTAGCTGTTACATCTCCTACTCAAAATTTTAAAAATGGTGTTTCTAACGTTCTATAATTTAAAATGTATTACTTATGAACACTTCTCTCCACCCTCGAAATTTCGTTTCGTATACACACCTGTCTGCTATTATTATAGTATTTCATTTGTGTTGCCGAAAAATAACACTGACCGGCTGACTAACTTGTCAAGTTTGTAGACCTTCCTCTTGAATTTTATTCGCAACGTGAACATGCTTCATGCAAAACGTGAAGGGAATTTTGTATGTCAGTATATTATTCACTTTTCCGATTTCAAATTTGGTTTCAATCAAGGCTGGTTTAATATGGTATGTAAATATACATGTGGATTCTGATCAATCAATGTTAAGTACTATATTAAATGCATTACATTCGAAAAAATCTATGATTAAATTGTAGTCAAATTTGGCATTGATTGATTCTTACGTTGTCAGGCACGTACGCAAATAAGCTTTTTGGGTGTTTAAACCCCTCCCCCCAAATGTTTGGACTATTATATTGTGTTATAATTTTCCCCTGAAACTCATCGTTTATCTATAAATCAAACAAATTTTTAAATTTAAAAACTTAACCATACAGTTTGTATAGGCAATGAAAATTATATACAATATAATTTATTATTAATTTTAAATTTAAATGTCGGTTGATAAATCTACAATAAATATATAATAATGTGGTAACCATTCAATAAATTTAATTATAGTATCTATATTTTAATAGACCTAATCTTATAAAATACATAATTAATTTTGTGTAAATTTGTTTTTTTCTAAACAAAAATTTAAACAGAACAACAAATTTATTTAATTTTTTTTTGTAATTTTTATATAAATATTATTTACATTTTTTAATAAATACAAATTTTTCCACGAACTAATACTCAGTCTATTTGAAAATCAAAAGTAGATATGTAGTTGATCACCTCAAAAAATAAGAAAGACAAAAAATAATGATAAAATAACAATTTAGAGTTATTTGTTTCTTAAATTGTCAAAATATGAAATTCCTAAACAAGTTTATTCTTTCCAAGATATCACAATATATCTTATGGAACATCTGGTAAATTAAGCCAATATAACTGTACACACAATTGTCAAGTATTCAAAATAACAACTAGACTAAGTAGATCAAGAGAGATAAAGAATATTACTGTATTGTTTTTGTTGTGTAGACATTTCAATAACTGCGTTTAAGAGAACACTTTATTTTATTATTTCTTAAATGATTGCATTGACTTACTACAAAAAATATTTTTTGGGGGGGGGGTCAGGGGGTTCCTCTTAATTATTCTACAGGTACAGTTTAGGAAGAAGAGAATCTTGTCAAATCAAAATCGTTTTTTTTTTTCTTAAATAATTAATATAATGCATTTTTTCACAGGGTACACGAATACAGTGAACTGAGAAAATGTACCTGCTTTAATACATACATGAGACATAGACATTTTTATAAAAATTAAGTATGTATATGTATATTATATAATACGTTAGAATTTTCTAAAATATGTACAACGATTTTGAATCTACTTGTTGACATAATATATATTATATGAGGATATTTTTTTATTCTATAACATTCAATTCAGGTGATATACTTACTTGATGAATTGGAAAAATGTTGGCACCGACGGTCGTTATTCAACCTTCGTCCCGACCGTCCAGCACGATGGGAGAACGGGACGGCGTGGCGTCCGCAGATACCAGCGAAGAAAAACATGAACTGAACGTGAAAGAGATTGTAGCCCCCGCAAGACTGAGTGTCCCGCAGATAGATCATAAGTCTGAAAGTGAAGACGAAGAAGACCAAGAAGTAAGACTGCACCTAAGGTCTTCTAGTGTTTACTTCTAAAACAAAAATCCCAAAATTATGCTTTTAAAATAAAAACAATAATATCGTAAACACCGAACGGCACTAATCAATTTAATATTAATAAAGGCAAGGGTAAATTGGAAAATGGAAAAACTAAAATTTGAAGAAATACCTATTTCAAAGTATTTATAATATAATTTAAATTTATTTAAAAAATATATACAAAATTATAATAAAGAATATACATTTTACTTTGTTAGACACGGGGATTTTAAGTTAATTCGAATAGTAACTCCCAATTTAGATACTAAGAAGTGAGCTTAGCGAAGAATGTGTTAATTTTACTATAATGCGCGTTTTTATTTTTGTTTGTAAATAACTTTTCTACCAGAATTCGTGTCCCGAATATTGAATTCAGGGATAGTTTCTGATGGAAAATGTCTAGTTGAAGAATTGAAAATTGTATTTTCCGATTTCCTCTGTAGTTTTTTTAATAATTGGGAAAGACCGGGGAAAAAGGGAAAACTTGAACTTTTATGTTATTTTTCATTTTATTATTTTATTGTAATTCAGTATAGTATAATTTTAAAAACCTAACATTTTCACCGTGTTCTTAATAGACGTGGTATAATATTTTTGAAACATTCTGACCATTAATAGCTATTTGAATTTTTCAAGTTTTTAAGTTATTATATTTGGCTTTATGTAAAATAAAAATTTGTTTAAAACCTAAAAATACTTGAAAATTGTATACAAAGTTTTTCATAAGTATTTAATTGTTCTTATGAAACTAAAATCCGTTGTCACGATTTTTTCTCTAAAAGTTCAAATTTTGATGAAAATTGTATTAATCATGACATATTGCATACTGCTTTCCGAATCATATGGATAAACAATTGTTGGCTTTATAAAAATGCTTCAGAAAATTGAGATTAAAGAACACGGACAATTGTAATTAATATTTCCAGTAGTTATAAATTAACACTATTTTTAATTTAAGTTACCAATCAATATTCTAAAAAAAACAATACTTAACCGAACTTCCCTCAAAATCGTTTTTCTTTAGCAATGATTCATTTTTCAAATACAATACAGATATAAATTAAATTATCTAATGCATCCTAGCTTGCAAATCTACCTACAATAGTTTTACACCCACGGTGCGAAGTACACCTAACCATGTTTAAAAATTAAAATTTCAAAAAACAAAAACTGTATAGGAAATAAATGGTATGTATATTGCATTTTCATTGAACCACGTATTGTGCACCATTAAAATTTGGTAGCTTATAAATATCATAAAAAAACTAGAGTATCTTGTGTGGTAAATTAACTGTCTTCTGTTCTATACTCTATCCAACCATATAAATAATGTCTACGGGCAAAATGAAAATTATTAATTTAGTTCATATATATATATAATATATATAAAATATATCTATACAATAATTAATGAAACGTCTACAATAACGATTAACTGTCATAATTGTATTTCAATCAAAATGTATTTTACATAATAGTAGGTAGTAGCTTAGGAGTATCGTACATCAAATTATGTAGGGTAAGTACTTACTACCTAGCTTTATTAATTTTCCAAATAATTAAATCAAATAGGTGTCACGGCACACACAACAAATGAATCATATCGGACCGCCGGGATATTGGCAAGGAGTGCCGAACAGCAGAATGGCAAGTCCGGGTAACGACAACGGAAGTGAAACTTCGTCAGTGATGCCAGCTCCGGTTCCCGGACTCGCCGCTTCCAGAGTGGCAAGAGAAAAATACAATCATCTATCGTATTGGAAAGCCAGAAAAGTGAGAATAATGTATCATTTATTCGTATTAATTAATATTATTTACAATAAACTAGTACGAATACAATGTTTTGTTGCATAATAAATAAGATATTAGATACAACGACATTATTATATCCGTGTATCTGTAACATTATTATGTTGTACCTAACTTCTTTTACTAAATGCTAAACTTTGCGGCAGAAAATATAGACGTCCATTATTTTCTCTTTAATGAGAGAGTCTTCATATTTGAATTCAAACCGTTGCATTCAACCATTCTATTCATCTCTCTTATGAAGGTCCCCCTTTTCCTTTGCAACCATTGATTCTTTCGGTATGGAATAGTAATTCAAATTTGTTTAGATTCGAAACATAGTGAGGATTGTATTGGCTTTACAATGTATATTCTTTTATTTATTTACTTTTTTTGATCTGTGAACAACTTTCTACCAGAAATCATGCTGCGGTTTTTAAGTGTAGCATCTCTATTCTGGAAAATCATTTTTTTCATTTTTCAAGTGGTTTTCATAATAATTGGGAAAAACCGGAAAAAAACGTAGGAAAACCGGGAATATGTACGAACATGTATAAAAGAAACTTCGCTTCGAATCATTTTTCGTTAGCTATCTACTTATCTGCATACCTACAACAGTGACTGCTCCTATCCATAGTATCAGCTCTTTTTTCATTTATTATTTACGAGTATTAATCATTTTAATAATTTTGTTTTTACTTTATTATTTTATTACTTATAATTATTTCTTTTTTAATAATAATAATATATTGTTTATTATTTTATCATGTTTTCTGTAAATTTTAAATAACCATAATTCAACATCAAAACCCATAATTCGATTTTTAATTGATCGATATTAAATTATTTGACATTTGATATATAGGTAGGAAGACATAAATATATTATCTACCTTGGTGCATACATTAAAATCCATTCTTACGTGTATTTGTTTTATTTTTAGGTAACATTTTTTAAAAACGGCGATTTATATTTTCCGGGATTAGAACTACGTTTCCGCCCAGGCAGAGATATTGGACATTTAGAAGCGTTGTTGGACAAACTATCGACACGAATGGATTTACCCCGTGGTGCGCGATATTTGTTTTCCATGGACGGCGTCAGGGTTGTTAGTTTAGACCAATTAGAAGATGATCAATCATACGTGGTATCTTCTTATAAAAGCTTCAAGGTATCTATCTAAATAATATAATTGATTTTTCAGCGAACACAACTTTAAACAGTTAAATTAAATACAAAATTAAATCAGTAACCATACAATCAATTCACCTCACTGATTTCGAACGCATGTAAAACTATTGAATAAACATTACACACAATACGTTTTGTAAACTACTTGACGTCATACGATTATCACGGATACACCTAAAGTTTAATAGTTATATTTAATATCTTTATAATAGGTTAGAATCAATAAGATTATAGGTTCAATTAAAATTATTCAAACTAATTTAAATCATAATAATTAAGTAGGTACAAATTATGGAATAAATAATTGTATGTGATAGGCGTATATTGTTTAAATGCAATATTATATTGATTCCATCGCGTATTAGGTATACTCGTTTAAATCTATTTATTATAAATTATAATATACTCATTTATCTGATTTTTCTTGTACTATTAGGTAGTCTTTTTAACACTTGGGAAAATACATCGGATATACGGAAAAACCTGCGCAATAAAGGTTGCTGTGATTTGCTGTAATTTGGTTAAAAAGAGAGTTATAACTTACATAGAATATGTCACACATTAGCGTTTCCTAGACGAAGACAAATTTTCATAATATTTCGATATTTTTTTAATTATCTATAGACATTTTCATGTTTTTTGGTTTTTATTTGATTTTACGTGGATAAAATTGTTTGTGCTAATGTTTAAAAATTGTATAATAGATCCATCATAACTTGTTGTTATAACATTATAATAATATCTTTAATCACGATTTTTTTTAATGTATTTATTTAAAATTAAAATTTTGATAAAAAATTACGAAATTTCTAAATATTACCTATATTAACTAAACTTCGATTAGAATTATTTTTCGTTAGGAATGATTCATCTTTTAAGTATAAATTTAATAATTTTAATCTTATATATTTTTTTTTTATTATAAGTTCAATAAATATAAAACTTAAAATGCAATTTTTTATAAAAAAAAATCCCTAACTTTTATTAATTATTATTAATTATTACCTATTATTAATTAATGAATAGTTTTATGCTCATAAAGGCATACAATATGTATATTAATTAAAAAGTAATATCCTAGTAATTTATGATATTTATGCATTTTTCAATGATTAAAATTATAAATACTTTAAAGCGTGTTTACCTCTGGTTTTAGAATTTTTGTAATGGGTAACAACATACGATATAAATTCTGGTTTATATTATTTATAATTTATAATAATCTCATATGTGTAGGAATATAGAAATGGTAAATTATAAAAAAGAAAATCGTGGAAAAATGTATTTTTAAATTCTTTAGAAACCCTATAAATATTGTCAAATTATTTTATAAATCTATCGTATTCTAGGAAACTAAAAGGAATTCCGAAAAATCTTCAAATTATCTGGCATACACATGGTATTCCCAATTGTTGGTCTATGTATAGGAAAAATAAAACTTTGAATTATTTATACATTACATTCATATATTTCAAACTTAACAAAAATATATAATATGTATTTAATATGAATAATAATTTAAAAAAAAAACACATTATTGATTGTATAAAATTGCAGTAAAATTTACTCTGGGATACCATAATGGTATCTTACATGAAAATTAATAATAATATACATAATATAATACACTGGTTAACATATGATTTCATTTAAAACTATCATTATTATTATAACGGTAAGTTTTTCATTGTAATATATTTATTTTGTTTGATATAACGACTGCTGAGACTATTTTTGTGAATTGCGTCCATTAAAGAAAACAGAAGAAAGAAAACTAATTGGTTTTGATAAACGGGAAATTGTTGTACCAGTTAAAACGAACTAGAATTTTTTCAAAAATAGAATATTATATTAAATTATATTGTATCGTAAATACAATCAAAAGTAGAAATATTACTGCAATAGGCTGAGCAGTGAAAACGCTTGGTAAAATCAGAATCAACTTGAACGAATTGTAATGGAAGAGAACCCAGATAGAAAGTTACCTCTTAGACGTCTTCGTTTGATATGAGAAAATGTAGTGAAGAGAGACATGTAAATTTAAAATACAGGGTCAGAGTGGAAATTAAGAGTTACTAACAATGAATTAGATGATTGGATATACGATGACCCTATAGTATACCTAACTTCAAGAAACAGAAGATTATGTAATACCTATTACTATTTTTAATAATTGAACGACATTGGATACTACTATCAGTGGCGATAAGAAGTATTTTTATCTTGAATCACCAACTTAAATGTTCTGAAATTTTGTTCTAAATTGTTCTAAAATGTTCTAAATTCTGAAGATTCAGGCACCCACGACTTACCCACCCGCTTTTTCGTAAATCCCGTGATTCAAATATAGCTTCTTCGTGCCATTACTAACTACCATGTACAATGAACAGTTCAGAACATTGAGATAAATAATCAATGCAATATTTGAAGAGGAGGTGGAAGAGGAGAAGACTTATAGTCTGACCTTACCCAACCGAACTATAATGTCTAAAAAAGAAAACTTCAAATAATTACTAGAACTATTGCTGTTAAGTTATACTTAGGTATAGATATCAACCATGCGTGAAATACGTAAAACTATAAGAAAGATTTTCTAAATTGTATCTAACTATCAAATTATATTTATTATTCCTGTTAAAAAATTTAATTATATTCTGTTGTATAGTTAAATTGTTAATTGTTTTTTAAAATTGTGTATTGAGTTTTAGATCACATAAATATTTGAATAAAACAATATGTATTTACTGCAACTGCATATAACTGAGATATGTAAATGTATAGAATGTAGATAACGATTGCATTTGTTTTTGATGCGAGAAACAACTTAAGTTGTACCCTCACAAGTTACAACCACACGTCCACACGAGTATAATATTATATAATAATTTTGGCTCTATTGATAGTGAACAGTGATTATTATCCAGGCTAGTTTAGATTATTATTTATTAATTTATTTAGTAGCATCAGGATTTGATAATTTAATAATATAAAATATAGATGCAACAAAAAACACATTCACTAAATTTAAACATTGTCTTTGAATCTTTTACCATTTTATGATCATAAATTTGTAATTTACTGAAACTATGGACGATCGTCAAGACACAGAAAATAAAGTCAAAGGTAGAACAAACAAGTAGAAGAAGTTATTCCTCAAACACCAAAAATGACCTATTGTTATTCTTCCTTGAGACAGTCAGCAAAATAATTGATAATGAAAACGCTGAAATTTTAACCTACACATATAATGAAAAAAATTATGAAAATGTAGTTATCGATTAATCTAACCAGATAATGAACGATAGTATATCTACTTATAGAATATATAAAATGTTGCTTCTGAATTTCATAAATTAAATACCGAAAATACCAATGTAACAGAAAATCAACCGATTGTAGAACTGAATAGTTCAAACTCATTTACAGGTTTTGAAAATGATGTTGGTATTTAACCTGAAAACTCTACAAATTATAATACTCTGGATAAATCAAAATCTATAAATCTACAAAATTACGATAAAAAGTTATTAGAAACAAACTTAGTCCAACAAGATCACAGTGATCGATCTACACATAATACAAGAAAATGTTCTGTACATAATTTCAACTATATAACTAGAAACAGAGAAGTTATTAATCGTTTGGGATTTTTTTCTCTCCAACTACTACTAAATTATACTGTTATATTAGAAAACAAGTAAGGATAAAAAAAAAATGAAAGCTATCTAATTATGGACTTTTTGATTAAAATCATGCAGTTGAAAATTTATTCCAACATGAAATATCTAAATATTGTAATTATTACATTAAATAACATAGAGAGAAAAATTAGTTGTTTATATTAAGAGCTTCAAAAACAGAAGTAGAATGTGGATTAATATTTAGAAGTGATAACGAAATAACTAATACACTAAAAAATGGAAATTTTCAGCCTCAAAAACAGAAGTAGAATGTGGATTAATATTTAGAAAGGATAACAAAATAATTGATTCACTAAGAAATGGAAATTTTTTTCTATTGCTTTCTATTGAATTATTGGCGGAGTTAAATCCATTTCTATCGGCTCATATTAAAGATCATCTGAATAAAAAAATTGGTCATACAAATTACCTTTCGTCAAATATTTGTGAAGAAAAATTGATTTATGGCCAAAGAAGTGTTGACCAAAATTTTATTCTGTATCTGTTGATGCTACTTCCGATGATCCATATTTAGATGATTTGACTATAGTATTTATGCTATATAGAAGGAATTAGTCCAGCAGAAATGTTTTTAACATTTGTACTGAATTGTAGTTACTGTGGCCATTGAAATGGCAAAAACTCTCTTTATATTTTTTATCATCATAATATTGAATTCAATAATTGTTGTGGACAGTTATTTAATAATGTGTGGAAAATATGAGTGGTAAGTATCAAGGAATTCAAGCCTTAATTAAAAATAAAAATAATTTCGTAGATTTAGTTCAATGTTGTGGTCATTCTTTAAATTTAGTTGAAAAACAGTAGCCAAGTCATGTCTTTCGGCTTTCGGTTCTTTGATTTTATACAAAACCTTTACGTGTTTTTTTACTGCAACTCTAGTGCGTTAAGCATTGTTAACAAATAAATTAGCTTACATAGGTACAAACAAAAATATATACGTTCTAAAGAATTTAATCGAAAATTTGATTGAAATCAAAGCCATGCTGTTACTGTTTTTGGTTATGATTAGGTATATAAAAGAAGTTTTATTAGACATTTAAAATCATCTTAATCAAAAATACATTCTTATAATCGAATTTAAAAACTTTATGAAATAAATGAAATAATGTGTCAACTCAACTTGTATTTTAAACAATTTTTTGAAATTATATTTCAAGAAGGTTCCATTTAACAAACTATTTTTTACAAGATTCAAAAACAGTACTTCAAACTGCTTTTAATATTTTATCTAATTTATCCCTAATTATTTTTTATTATTTGTGCAATAAATACGAAATAAATTTGAAGTTCACTAAAAAAAAAACAAAACAATGTCCGGAAACAATGATCGGAAAAAAAAAATGAAAGACTCAGTTCATTAGACAATAACCAAACTGGCCTCAACCCAGTTATCACCAAAAGAAAGATTTAGAACTGAAAGCTTTATTTCAGTAATTGATCAACTGGTAGTATCATATATCGAAAGAATATCTTCTTATTAAACAATTTGCCCACATTTTCAAAGTTATCAATTTTATTTGTATTATACTTTTAGATTCTTAATGGAGTGAGGAATGTAAGGGGTTATAAGGAAATTTATTACCACTTTTTTTTTTATCTGTGAACAACGTTTGTAGCAGAAATCTTGCTCCGATTTTCAATCTATTTTCAAAGAACTTTTCTTGAAAAGCAAATTTTCCCGAGGTGATACTTTAAGGAGGTGATTTATTGATTTTTCTAATGGTTTTCATTAAAAATGGGAAAATCGGGAAAAACTTACCAAAAAAGTGAAAATTTACGAAGTTTGGTATTATTATCGAATCGTAAATATTACGGCCTTTCAAAACATGTATAACCGAACTCTACTAATTTTTTTTGTTAGCAATGATAAATCGTTGCGTACATATATTACGTTAAATTTTCCCTCTATCTTCCCAACTTCTCACCTAAAACAGTGGTCCACCCATCGTGCGAAGTATGTTCGTTTTTTTTTTTTATTATTATTATTTTGATATAAATGCTATTTATTCAACTATATAGTTTCGAATAAAATATTTTTTGCAGTAGATGTTAATGTTTCATTATATTAAACTCACTTGCATAACTGTACCCATAAATTAGATACGCGTAACTGAAAAAAATAGCCACTAAGTATAGGCCCAGGTCTCTTTAAATCTGAGTAATCATACAAATTAAATAAAATATTCAATTTTAAATCTAATTAAGATAAAAAATTTTTTATATAACAATCTTTAGCTTCGGAAGATTATATTGTACGTAGAATTATTAATTATTGTATTTTTCGTTTTGATTGAAAAACATCAATGAAGAATGATAAGATCTACCACAATGTACACAGTCCAAGACATAGTGAATAGTTTAGAATAGTTTTTTTTAACAAAAAACTAATAATATTTGTTGTTGAAGTCCAATAAAGTCCAAATAAAAAAAAGCCAAGCATAAGCTACTTCTTATATGTACATTAGTATTCCTTATCTTATGTTCTCTCATTACTTCACTCATCCACCTAAGCATTCTCATCTCCACTACACTCTTTCTTTGTTCTATTTTTCCGTTAACCATCAAACACTCCGAAACCATACAACATAGTTGATTTCATAACACTTTTATAGAACTTACCTTTAAGTCTCATTAAAATTCTCTTGTCACATAAAACTCCTGATGCTAAAACTACTAATTATCGTTGGCTGTTTTGTGCTGTTCCTCCTAAATCATACTCAATGTATCCTGTTTTACTTCTAGTTAACCTTAATCTCTTTCCTTTAAGCGTTACTCTCCATTCCTCGAGCCTGCTTCTAACTTCTTCCAAATTTTCTTTTATCCAACCTGTATCATTTGTAATGTCCTCCTCTCACCTGCTATCCCCGCGCACATTCGAGATGGGAAAATCCGCCCAACTTTTGATTAGAACTCCTCATAATATATGTTAGAAGTTTACACCAGCTTTCGAACTTATAGCACCCCATTTGTTGTCTCTAATGGCAAGTAGAAGTACCGTGGGAGAAATACCTCATATCTAGAATAATCACCTACTTGGACTTTCGTGGGAGCTCGGAGTCCTGAGTTCACTAAACTAGTAGTATCATATATCTATATAAGGTTATAATTAGGGCTCGGCAGTAATAGAAGTTACATATTTTTCTTTATACATTGGATTTATAGCAGACCAAGCTAGAAATTCTTACTATGCAATAAAGAATTTTTAAATCAAATATTTAAAATGCTAATTTCATAAATTTTAGAGAAAAAGTGTCGATTTTCATTGATTTTCTTATACTTTTATGCATATTATGCATATTTAATATTTGCTAAAAAAATTATTTTTTTTTTCTTATTTAAACAATGTATTTTAAATAATATTTAATGTAAATCTTAATATGATTATCGTTTTAGTGAATTTATTTAGTGAAAACGGTGCTATCCGAATTTTATCTTTATCTTTTTTGTGAATTTGAATAATAACATTTTATGTTTTTGAATAATAAACCTTGAATAATTTTTTGTACATTTAATATTTTTCCATGCATATTTTACAATTGTTTCGTGCATATTTGGACATGCATATTTTGACTTTTTTTACCTCCTATAACTTGATTGTAATATTTGTATAGGTAATTGGTAACTAGTATAAACCAGAATATTTCTGGGATTAGAGGTGGACGCGACTATGCAAGTATAATATTACCGACAAATATATTAGTTCTATAATAAAATACTAGATGGCGCGTAAGGTTTATATTATTAAGACATACATCACTATTTACTATAAGGAAATACAAAAATACAAATACTATTAAATATTACCTAGGTATACACTATATAAGATTAGAACCAACAAGAATTAATAAAATCAAATACCTATTTAAATAAATTATTAAATAATTTTGTTGATTTGAAAACTTAAACTTATATAAATATGTACCTTTATTTTACGAGTTCGTAATAAATTCCCAAGTAAAATAAGTGAATAAGTATACATATAATATTTCAGTAACAAAAATGAATCGTAACAACACGATAACAATATAATACTATATTAATATATAAAATTGTAACTATTTGTTAATATTTAACCTACTATAGGACTATATAAGCTCCTATAAAATGATGTTATATTTCATTATTTGAATATTAATGGTATTAAATTAGAATAAATAGCCAGTTAGAAGGCCAAATCCAAAATGTTTGTATTGCACTTCATATTTTTACTCAAATACTTGCTCCAATCATAAACTTCTTAAAAATATATTTGTAGTATTTATTTGGAATTAATACTTAATAAAGGTCATTTTTTGAAATATCTACCTAACAATTTTCATAATAAAGGGAAAACATTTAAAGTTTTGTACCAGAAATCAGAATCAGCTAAACGGTCATTAAATTAAAATCGGGAATCCACTGGGACATATACGGCTACTACATCACCGTGTATTTTTGTGGAATTTTCATCGAAAATATAGAATAATGCACGGTATTATGTCTATTATATATATATATAATATATATTATTATTGTAATCTTACTTAATTAAATTAAATATTTAATAAAGAATTATTAACACTAGTGAGCAAATCTAGCAACCAAAACTATTTTAGATAAATTATGAAAAAAAAAAAAAAAAACATACTATATGATCCAACAGTTTCATCCACAGAGTACCTATCGAATAAAAATTACGTTAAAAACCAGAAAAACTAAAATGTCTTTAAATATCTATAGCTCAAAAATGAATAAACTGTTATGAGAATTGTATCACATCTAGAAAAGAAAAATATGAGCTCTTTGTCCAATTTTCAATTCTCTATGATTATTTTCAGCTGAATCACCAAAAAATTGAAAATAACAAAACCAATATTTTCATTAAATTTTCCCATTCTTTTTTTACTTTTTTTTTCGATTTGCTCAATTATTAAAAAACTACACGGAAAATCAAAAACGACTTTCTTACTTGTTAATTAAATTAAAAATATAACAAAAAAGTTATTTTATTGTTTATTTCAGTAATATTTCTTGTAACAAAAATGAACAATATAAATTTGAATTAAAGAAATCGTAACGCTGTGAATTTATCAGTTTTTATTTCTCGTCTTCTTTCGGTTTTTTCCAATTGTTATGAAAAATCTTTAGAAAATCAAAAAATCACTTCACCAGTGCACTAACTAGATGAAATTTCTTTTTAGGAAAAGTGCTTAACTTGACATATTGGATCAAGATTTCTGTTAGAAAAGTTGTTTAAATACACAAAAAACACACGCATAACCAATAGATAAAACCAATAGATCCCTCATTACGCTCCGAACCTAAACGTACATAATCAATTAGCTATAATAATAATAATAATAATCAATTAGCGGATGCGATTATAGTCTACTGCATAATATTATGGGTACTTTTCTCTGAACTTATAACCACTCGTATTATTAAAAACCACAAATTTAATGAATATAAAAAGTTGAAAAACATCAACATTTTCTAAAGAATAAATTCTATAAGAAGACATTTAAAGAGTATATCTCGTGGAACACCCCATATAAGTTTATAGAAATGCACGATTAAAAAAAAAATCGTATACACCTGTAATACAAAGTTTCTTTGATTTTGGTTATCATCTTCTCCGAAAAATATCAGGTTTTCAAGTTTGAAATTCACACTTTTGAAAGGTAATAATTAATTGGAATAAAAACGGTGAGGCGCGCTCTATATTTATTTAAAGCAGTAGGTACTTATTATTTAAATTAATCAGGTAGGTAATGACTTAATAATTATTATTATTTTCGTGTTTATTTGTAATTAAAAATGTGTTTTCAAAAAAACTAATAAAAATGTATGAATATATTTTTAAATACAGGTAGCGTTAAATGTAAAATAAAAAAAAAATATATTTTTTTTATAACACTAGTTTGTAAACACAATGTCTAAAAATAACGACATGTAATAAAATCAAATTTGTCAACAATTTAATGATAATTTAAAACACGAAATTATTCACATAATTTTTTTTTTTAAGGAATAAAACGGTTTTACGGAGTTTATACTTTTACATTAGGAGGACAAGGACGCTAGACACTACATGTCATATATTTGTTTTCTCCGTCTCACAAATGTACCACGTGGAAAATTTGGATTCAGCAAAATCGATATTTAGCTGTTAGTTTTAATATCAGAACGAAAAATTACCTGATAATGAAATTATCAAAATTATAGAAAATTATCTGTGATTTTATGTTGGTACTTTTTGTTGTTTTAATATTTCGGCGAGATATGAGCATATTAAATACCACAATTTATAAATTATTAAATTATCTTTCCAAAAAACAATGTAAAAATACAGTTACACAGATGCTCTTAGCTTTAAATTTGATAATAGGTCAATTCGTTCTCATACTAAAATTAACAACATTTCATTGGTTCTGTTGAACGTAAATGGCTAAATCGTACGGTTTTAAAACGGAAATAAAAAAAAATGCATGTTTAATGGGGTGAAATTTTTTTTCTTCCACGTAGATTTTTTAAATTTTGAATACAAATTTTGATTATACCATCAATAGATGCAATAGCATAAAAAAAAAAAACATAAAAAACTTATAACAATTGACAGTCTATCACTAAAACATCAGAATAACATTAAAATACTTTAACATTTTAATTTACTCTTCGCGTCCTTATAGACATAACCACCAGTTACCACTATAAAAGTTGTTTCACATACATTTAAAATAACTACATCGATTTTACTATTGTTTTTATAACGTTGCGTATTTAAGTGAATAAACTGTTAAAGTAAATAATTTATTTTTAGTAGTGTATAATAGTATGTTCATTTTATATTCTGATCGCAGCAGGAAACAGCAAAGTTTACGGGAAAATCGGTTTCATAATTTTGGATTTTGTTTTTGATCCTGAGCGGATGATGATGTTTATATGTTTTTTCTGTTGACAACTTTTCCGTCAGAAATATTGCTCTGATTTTCAATGATAACTTTTATTCTGAAAGGAAATAGGACTCAGAGAGAGAGTGTACTTTAGGGAGATCATTTTTTGATTTTTCCAGAAGCTTTCCAAACAAATGGGAAAAACGGGAAATTAGGAATAAATTAAACAAATTTGATTATGTAATGCATATGATTATTTTACCTTAATATGACATATATACTGTTGACAAAGCAACAATATCTAACCGAACTCCGCTCAGAATCGTTTGCAATGGTTAATAGTTGCTTACAAATATACATTAAATTACTTATTACAGTGGCTGCACCCATATCCATTATCCTAGGAAAGATTTTTCCATTGTAATTTGAATTAAAATAATCATCGAGATCTGAAATTTTCATAAAATAGGTACATTAACACTTTCTTGACGCGTTAAAAGATATTCTAGTGAATATTCATTGTGTTTTTTTTTTTTTGGTTTTTATTTGTTTTTATGTGGATAAAATTGTTTTAACGAACAGAAATGTTTGACAATTTTACATAAAATACACCATAAATTATTATACTATTATAGTGGTAAAAAAAAAGTTGGTTAAAAAAACTACTTATTTAACTAACTTCTTTTTAAACAGATAACGTAAAAATTATGGCATTTCAAAGTCATGTTTAACCGAAATTCACTCAGAATTATTTATTATTATATATAGATATAAATTCATTAACTCTATTTGTCCTATTTTCCAAACATTCCACCTACAACGGTGACGCACAGATCAGGAGTATCAGCTCTTTTTAAAAATATTATTATTAGTTTTTTTCGAATAAAATAATACAAGGTTTTGTTTACAAGGTAAACCTACAAGGAATAACCTTGTAAACATTTTAAATAAGTATTTTAAGGCCGTAAATTAATTTACAATATGACATGTAAAAATTTACACAAAAGGGATATTTAATTATTACTGTTGACACTAACCCCAAAATGTTATACTTACATAACTATTAAATTATTTGCATGCGAACCATTAAACCTTGTTAAAATATATTGGATTTGCATGCATATTCATATAATAATTTATTTAATGTTGTAGAATTTATTATAAGAATAAAAAAATAAGCAAAAAAAAAAAAGATGGATATACTTAGCATGATGGGTGAACCACTGATATAGATAAGAAGTTGATGAGAAGGTAGAGGGGAAAATTAATGTATATACACAATGATTAACTTTTGCTAATGAAAAAACGATTCTGAGCGGAGTTCGGTTAATTGAACCCTATTTGCTTAGTCAGTAATATATATGTCATATTAGGTAATGGTAAAATAATTATATAATTAAAAATAATATTTGTTTAATGTTGTACCGATTTTTCAAGTTTTTCTATGTTTTTCAAGGGTTTTTCCATGTTTTTATTCAGTTTTTCAAATTTCTGAGAAAATCGAATTAATGATCTTTTTAAAATTCCTCCTCACACCTAATTTCCTTTCAGAAAAAATGCTACACGTAGAAATCTAAGCAAGTCTTCTGATAGAAAAGCTGTGCACAGATAAAAAAAGAAATCTTTGTAAAACCATAAGCTTCTTCGCTCTACTCAGAATCTAAAAATACAATTCTCGGTAACAAGTTGAGCTGTTCAAAATATTTCGCTCAAAAAAAGACACACATACACGCATATAACAAAACTTTGATGAACACATGTATTACAAACGACTGAGACCGTTGTAGTGCTAACGCACAAGGAATTAAACTTCTACGACGCAACGAGGAATTACTGTATTACATAATTGTCATACATCACATAATACCTACATTATTTTCAACCTAAACGATTTTCGTCAAATTTTGATATTAAAATTCTAATAAAAAAATATTCCACAATACATTATTTTTATATTTTTTTTTACCGCAAATTACGACTTATGATGAAGCTCCTGTTCAGTTGTCTAGAATGTTTGATTGATCGAATAATTTTATCTACACAGTACCTATACCTAACAAAAAAACGTACAAAAACCCGTAAAATTAAAATGTCTATAAATAGCTCAAAAATGACTACGATGTTTTGAAAATTTTACCACGTTTAGAAAACACAAATATAATTATAAAATAAACATATATATAATTTTCGGTTTAAACTTAAAGTCTCTGAAAATATTTTCAACTGAATCAAAACAAAACAAAAAACAAAAAACTGATGGCATAATACATTTCGTTAATATTTCCGTTTTTCCCATTGATTCAAAATTTTTAACGTTGGAACAGCTGATAACTGCTAACTATTATTATGCTGTTTGGTTTTATAATACAATATAGAAATAATAATCTACAAAATATGATTTATTATCACGTCTTCGTAAATATATAGTAATTAAGTATATAATATAATATTATATAGAGCACTTCGAAACGAGCAAGCTGAAACATTATAATATCGCGTTACGTATACTACAGACCCGGCATTGTTTTTAATAACATTCAAAAAATGACCTAAAAAAGAAACAAATAAATAAACACCGTCTATCTATACAAATTCGCGCAAACATTTTTATCGTCGTCTTCATCATCTGTGCGGTCAATACACGATATTATACGCGTCCGTTCGAATGTTTTTTGTTTATTAAAATTTCGCATTTCCATAACGAAACGCGAATGGCATTGAAGAAAAAAATAATAGGTGTTATTGCAGTTGTCTGTATGAGTTTCTTTCGGCGTGCATATTTCGTAAAATTCGCCGCTGTGACCCCAAAAGTGTGTACGCATACAATGTACAGCAATATTAAAGGGCCGCCCGGGGTATTATAATAATTTAAGTTAATTACCCTCCGTTCGTGTTGCGTTCAATACCGCGAGAGGTATAAAAGGTTTCTTATAATATTATGTACGTATATACGCGAAAATAATAATATTATAATACGACTGTATTATAATTATTATATATATATATGTACGTGTGTATAGAGGGATGGGGTGGTGGTAGTGTTATGATTTCGGTTTCGTTCGTGTCGGCGGTCATTTCGCTACCAATATATATATATATACGTGTGTGTGTATACATCGTACGACCTTCGGATTAATATTTACATTTTTATAAGAGATCTCGAATTGTTCCCGTGTATTATTATTATATTGTTTGGGTATACGTTTTCACATGTTGTTTTAATAACCGCCGCCTGAGGGGTGGTCAAGGACTCCGTGTGTGATTTTTCGGTCGTGTATACGGTACACCGTATAGCGCATAAAACAATAATAAACCCTTTGACGACCGAGGGGTTATAGTAACGTGTAAACGAAATATAATAACAATATTTAATTCGGAGTTAAGATTTCGTTTCGGACGTTAAAAATAACGCGCCCTAAAACCAAAACCAATGTCATTCGGGTTATAAAACAAGAAAAACCGTGTCCTTTCGTTATTTTTACACGTTTTTAAAACGCAGGCAAACTCCCCTATAAGTGGGTACCGACTTAATTAGAATTATATTATTTTTTAAAGTATAACTATTTTTTTTTTCTGAGGGTTCCGCAGCTCGGGGATGTTTACAAATTTATAATATTTGCGATTAAAATTTGTTGAGAAACGCTCCAATCGGTTTTCATCATTATGTTAAAAAGCCTGCGTGTAACGTGCGGTTTTTTTTTTTTGTTTTGTTATAAATATGTTTTACATGAAAAATTCTCAAAAAATACAAACGAAATTGACTTTAATAGTGAACTTAATTAATCATATTTAAACTCTAATTATAGAGTTTCGAAATATAATAAGGGTGCCTCCATTCGACGAAAAAAGTATGATTGAAAGTGGACATGAGTGTTTTTACCTGTAAAGCACGTTTTCAGGCAAAAAACGGGTCATTTGTGAACTCTTTAATACAATCTAGAAAAATCGATAGCAATGTTCTTCGTTTATCTAACAAATATCGTACAAACGGTTTATTAAGTATACATATAATAGTCTAAAATTTAAAATGAAAAAACAACGAGCCAAGACGGAAAAAATATTGTAATATTTCTGTATTTCTAAGTGACTTTAATGCAATGCATTCCATTGAAATTTCAATGGAATACGCGCGAATATATTTTTAGATATAGTTCAAACGTTCGAATTCTATAGTAAAATATACTTATAAGTATTTTTTGATATTCAGTACTCGAATTGAGAGGGGAAACACAGAGGAGAAGAACTCCTCTTCTTTAAGATTTTGAGTGGATCGTGGATCGAAGAAGCTAATATAGTTTTATAGTATTTATTTCTTTTTTCTGTGGACAACTTTACTACCAACAATATTGCTCCGGTTTACAATGATAGCACTTTTAATGAAAGGAAATTTGACTAGAAAGGTACTTTAGAGAGATAATTTTTTGATTTTTTCCAAAAGTTTTCCCAATAAACGGGAAAAACATAGGAAAACGGAAAAACAAGTAAAATATTAAACAAGTATTGTTGAGGAAAATATATAATACATATGTAATTATTTTACCATAATATGGGATACATATTTTTGACATAGCAATACTGTCAACCGAACTCTGTTCAGAATCGTTTTTTTTTTTTTTGTTAGCAATAGTTAATCGTTGCTTACAGATATACATTAAATTACCTATACCAGTGGCTGCACCCATCCCCAATATCCTAAGACAGCTTTTTACTTTTATTTTAGTATCCCCTTAATAATTATTTCTATTTGAACGAAGGAATGGTACATCTATTTTTGCAAATAATGATATTTTTTTTAAAAAAAAACAAGTATTACATCTACTTAGATGTATTCAAATAAATAATTATTTTTTTGAATTTTATATTATATTATCATATACAATTTTTTAAAAAAAAATTAATTTTATTATCGTTTAGTCTTAATAATTTTTTATATTTAGATTTAATTTTTATCCTGCATGATAGGTATTGTAAAATTCGAATAAAATTTCATTGTGTTGTTGTGAAAGGGCGACATTTTTTTAGCTAGAATGCCCAACAGACTACCCAAATGAATTCAAAGGATGCAATTTTGTATACACGTGAAATAAATATTAATGATGTGCCTTTCAGGGTTTTCAACCGCCAATTTATATGGTGTTCGTTTAATAATATTGTTTTGCAAAGAAAAATAATTCCATAATAGAAAATAGGCGAAGGAAAATTCGACTCTAATGATGGAGTTCTACTGCTAACGGTTATAATAAATTATTTTGTTTTCCGTTCAATCGATTCGTGCGTATATATGTTCATGAAAAAACCGTGGTGAAATGTTTGGGTTTTATTCGATAATAATTTGAACGGTTCTGGAATTATAATAAAACTGCCCAATGATTTATCGCCTCGGATACCCGGTGGATAGTTATTATTATTTCCTCCCCCTTCCACCTTTCTTACCCGCGTACCGAAAACGCAATCGTTGCGTTTATACGCATACGACCCCGTGTCTTACTGCTATAGCGAGGTGTGCGGCCGTTGCGGTATAAACCTTATAACCCGCGCGAAAAAAGGTCGTATCCTCGCGGAAACGACCGGAAGCGCACACCCGCAAAAAAACAATAAATACACGTATAATACGTCGCGAAAAGGCGGCGTTTTCCGTTTGTTTTTTTGCCTTTGCATGTCTGCGAAAATAATCATTACTATCGTGTAGTATATATATATACTACAGCCGTTATTATCATCGCGCTCGCACCGTGGTCGTCGTCGTCGTCGTCGACCGCGATAAACGAGCGGTCGCCGAGGTGTCCGCGCCGAGGAGCCCCTCCCAACGCCGACGCCTCACCCCACTGCGGCCAGGGGCCGAAGGGATCCGCGCGACGCGCGCGCGCGACGGATAATTGCCGCCGCGGCGGTCGTAAAATTGACGGTGGCGCGAAGATGGTCAAGGGCTCGTCGTCGTCGGCGCGTCGCGCGCATTAATACTATTTAAACGGTGTCTGGTGCGGCGGGCCGGCGGCGTGCACGCATTATTATCATTATTATTACTGTTGTTGTTACAAAATAAAAACGCGCAGCCGTTGGCCGCGCCCCAGACCTTGACGCCCGCCTATTCGAGGCGGCGGCGGCGTCGGCGTCCGAAACGGTTCTCCGCGATAATGCCGTGTTACGGCCCGACGGACCCTGGACGACACGCCGACGTGAACGCCGCACCAGTCGACCGCCGACTGTCCGCCGAACTCGCGTCCGTCACTCCGCGCATTGCCGTGTCACCGTGTCCACGTGTATTCATGGCGCCGCGCTGCACGTTTTACAACGCCGCCGTACACGCGCGTACGTAACAACAACAATATTACTATTGTGTACCGGCTGTACGTCGTTGACGCGCCGCCGTGATTGCCGTGCCGGGCCGTTCTTTTCGGCCGCGTCCCGCCGCAAACCAATGGGATGGCAGTCGCGTTTACCGTGTTACACTCCGCCATCGCCGAGCACGCCGAACAGGTATTAATATACGCAATAGGTACTCGGTGTTTGGACACAACGTTATTAATGAAATAATGAAGTAAAAACGAAATTATTAAAATGGTTAATACTACTCGTCAATAAATACGTAAATGAAAAATATATTTATAAAAACGAATGAACGCGTCGCCTGGAGTATTATGATTAAACGCATTTTACGGCCGGTTTCGAATTGAAAATTCATCATCAGTTTTTGAAGAATTACACACACACACTCAATGAAATAAAGAAAAATAATTTTAATAATATTTTAAATGTCCAAACAAATTTTAAAAATAATATCTTGTATCAATGCGTTTTAGACAATAAATAATAACCAAATAATTTATATTTCTGAACATATCTATGTCTAATAATAACTTATTTTAAATAATCTCTTTTATAAAAGTAAATTATTTCTATATTCTATGTAAAACGACCAATTCGTATAATTTTTTTCTATGCATTCCTTCATTTCATTTTTTTTCTTCAGTCACGTTTTACATTTTCACTGTAATATACTTGATGATGAATTTTCAATTCGAAACCGGTCATACAATACACTCATCATAACACTCCAGGTGACGCATTCATTAATTTAATTATTTTATTTTTATGCATACATTTTTTATTTATATATTTATTTACTTTACAATATTATTGTTCCTTTTACATGTGAAAATGAACGCGCATTTCATATTCGCATATGTCGAATCCGAGATGTTGAAAATTCGCTCCCGTTCGTCTTTCGTTATTTGCATAGAACGAATGCATTCGCCGTTCCTTAGAAACAAAAACGATCGTATTGTACTCCTCTGAAAAAAAATTAAATCCTACGAACGATTTATTTCCCAAACACTGACAATACCGTAGCCGACACTTCTTATACGCGTTTCCTTTCGCGGATTTTCATAACCTAACTGACGCGACGACCGAAATTCACTTTTTCGTACTACACGAACAAAAACGTGTGTCGCGTCATACGCGCGAAAACCGTCTGAAACGGAACTCCAACAAGGACCGAAGAAAATTATCGCCACGGATTCACAGTTTTCCGGCTGAAATCATTGAAAACCCGTCGCGCGAAATCTCCGATTCCGGCACCGTTCCAAGGCGTTTTCGTTTTAGACGGGTTTCGCTGTGTTTAAACGCATAAACGATAATTCTATATAGTTTCCAGCATAGCTGTATATATAATTCGAATACCGTTTATAGACACGCACGTTTTGCACTACAACGACGTTCCCATTCGCGATGCCGTTTGTCCGATCGTTTTTGTCCGCGACGTATTTCGCGTTAACGCGTCTCGTATAGCGGACAGCTGTGGAAAATATGTCTTGTAGATTTGTCACCGAACGGCTTAATTACGTACGTACTCACTCGTTTTACGTGTATATTTCTATACAAATATGTAGTAAACATTTATTACGAGTTATCTCGAAAGTGCCGAAAGGTTTATGTATGGACCACTTTCGGAGACCTTTCGTTACCACCTCGATTTGCTGATGGCCCATATTTTATTTCATTTTTTTTTCGTACTTCACGGATTACGTATTAACATGAGCGCCATTATGTACGATAAATGTATAATCATGAAGCAATAAACTCCGATTACTATAAAAATTGATTTACATTAAATACTGTTTTCAATTGTGTAAATATGGCTTGGCGGATCATCGCTAAAAATCTCGAGGACCCTAGGTTAGAAATTGCTGCTATACTATATCATTTATATACGACAATGCTGTTTTCAGTTCTTAATATTACTATTTCAAGCGTAATAATTTACAATCGATGATCTTTATTTTTTTATAAATTCGTTTAGGAACGAACCGCAAAATGATATGGCCACTCAATAATCGTTTTTCCCCACATCCCCCTTTTACGTTTTTATTTTTGATTAAAAGTGTTTAACGCGCCCGAAAGACAACTTATGTTTTTTTGATTATTTCTTCCATTCAAACGCCAAACTAAACCTGTTTTTCCGACGTATTATTTCCCAACGAGCCAAATATCAAATCCATCTGAAATTCGTAATCTAAAGTAATGTAACATATAATTTGGGTTCAGGTCAGCGATGACACGTTAACTTTGCAATATGTGACTAGAGAAGTATTTTAAAAATTATAAAAGCAAGAAGATGTTATAATTTATACAATTAAAAACGGGATGTTTCGTGTGGTTTATTTAGATTTTAGTTTTTAGAAATTATTTTGAATAATTTGAAAATATTTTTTTACATATAAATACCTACGCATTTGTCTGAAACGCATCGATACTGTATTTTGAACGGAACTCGATTTAGGATTTTTAAATACGGCATTTATAATAAAATATGTGTACAGTTATTTGTATATATATATACATAATTTATGTATATATAGACGAGACATGACTTGGCGCCACTGGATAACAAGATTATATAAATCAACTAACTAAAAAATTAACGTTGTACAAATTAAATGTATTTACAAAAACATACAAAAATTATTTAAATAAATATTCCCGAGTTCATATTGTTCACAGTGCAGTAATATAGATAAACCTGAATATGAATGTGCTGTTTATAATAAAATTAACGTAGACAAGTTGTTTGAAAAAAGTTAATGTTTTATCCACTGGGTGATATGCTAAAATTATTTCACGCATTTCATCGCTTGGTGTTCAGTTCGTGATCAAAACTATTTTTACATACTCAACAATTCAAACAAATTAAGCTCTTAAATAAATGTATATTGATCAACACACGTGGGTGTGAAAAAATTGTTTTATATACAGTTGTGTACCAAGATATTTCCAATGGGAGAAAATGTAACAAATAATAATCGTAAAATTCATAATTAATGGTAATCTAAAATTCGAATCCTAAAAAAAACGAATTTCAATAAATCAATAAATCGAGCTTTTTTCCGTTACATGACTAAATAATATGCATTTCGATATTAAATTACTTATATATTTTTTTATTTGTAATCCATTGGGAGAGATATAACCCCTAATTTGTCCCTCTGCGTATGCAATTGTTTACATATATGGTAAAATAAGTACATATTCAAGGCTTCTACTGAAATACTCAATATAAATATGTTTTGTTATGTTCAGTGTTTTCTTATAAATATCATTCATTTTGACGTTTAACTACAGTCGTATATAATATAATTATATCCTTAAATTTTGAATAATAATTTGTATACTATAGATCATAGTATTGTAACAATAGCTGATATTTAACATGCGTGAACGATAATGTTGGCCGTTATTATAGAACGCAAATTATGGGAAAAAAACCGGTGGTTGGAATTCCACTACTACCCCGGCCCCAGCCTCAGCTTGGTCAAGGCAGTCGTCTATGAGCAGAAAGCAGTCGGCAGCCGACGCTAGCGAATTAGCTTCAGCCACTTCTGGACTTAACATAGCCAAGTCGTCTACCACTAGAGTAATAAGGATCATTAATAATTTCGACCACACGGTACAGGTCAGTGCTGCATTGACATTTTACTTAAAATTTAATTAGTTTTTACGATATATTAGTGAAATTAAAGTGCAAAATTTGTTCATTGGTTTAGAATAATTTCAGAAGAAAAAACACTTATATAAATTTATATATATTTAAAGTAATAGGTAATAGAATATTCGAAAAATAACTATTTGTTTATGGAGTTTCTATACATCATTTTTAATAACGATCCCCCAACTCCCTAAATAAAAAAAACACATCTGTAAAACTAATTATTAGCACTTATACTACAAAGTAGTAACAAAGTATTCAAATCAAAATTAAATAAACATTAATATACATAAAATGATTGAAAAAATAGGTTACAATTTTTTTTTAATGAAAAATTGAGAATACTCAAAACAATAAGTAAACATACAATAACCTTAAAATACAATATTTTATTTTTTCATTTTTGAGTCCTAATAAAGTCATTAGGTACTTACACTTATTGATCAAATTTGTCAAGGTTCGGTATGATATTTGTATTTAAAGTAAGTATCAAACGTTCAAGTTTGACAAAATTAAAAATACGACCTTGGAAAATAATTTTGATAGTAAATAATATAATCAGTTCACTCGGCACCGTTATTGAACTGTTTCTCTGTTTTAATAGTAAACGGTCACCGTATACTATTATTATTATGATATAACCTCTATACACGCATGTACCTGTTTTGCATAAGTCGAACGCCTGCCAGAATATTGTGTGTTAAGTAAGATCCAACAATAATAATAATATATTCATATCGCAATAATGTGTTATGGGGAAAAATAATTTACGAAACACACAATACTTTGTATTATTATATATAATATCTATGTCCTATTATTTCTACGGTCATACAACAATAGAGCAAAAGCAAAAAATCGAATACAAATACGAGCAAAAATATATAATAAATAATATACATAATTATAGAAATTAATTAATAACCGTACTTTTAAAATTCTTGTAATGAAAAATTGTGTGGATCAAATGTGTGATCTATAGAAGTGAACAAAAAATAATTGGATCAACAGAAGATGACGGACTCACTTTATTATAACAAACGTTTCTCTTGCTGTGACTGAATAAACTGCATGGTTAAAAACGTTAAAGCGTTAAACATGCGTGGTATTGGAACACCGCCGAACGACTAAACCCAAATCGTAATCGCGAACTTTAACGAATTCTCATAGCCTTACTTAGGAAGTCTAGGGCCCGCGCTAATTTTTTTATGGGACCCTTAAATTAAGTTATAAATTCAGTTTTTTCTCTTATCTAGTTCCGTAACTAAATAATCAATTATAATATAAAAAGTTTCAACCTCTAATTTTTAGATTCTGAACGGAGAGAGGAATATATTGGTTTGACTATGATGTTTATTTTCGTTTACCTGTAGACAACATTTCTATCAGCAGCTTTTCTCCAATTTTCAGATATAGAACTTTTTCTTAAATGAAATCTGACTAGGGTAATACTTTAAGGTGGTTATTTTTTATTTTTTCCAGGAGTTTTTCCAATAAATGGAAAAACATGGTAAAAACAGGGAAAATACGGGAAAATAGAAATAATATCAAACAAATATTATTAAAGAAAATATATAATGTATATGTAATTACTCTATCATAATGTGATATATACATATATTATATTTTTGACAAATTAACACTATTAATTGAACTTCGTTCAGAATTGTTTTTCGTTAGCAATAGTTAATCGTTGCATAAAGAAACATTAAATATCCCTTCTATCTTCCCAACTTCTTACCTACAATAGTGGCACATCTATATGGCGAAGTATGTCCGACTTTCAAACTTTACAAATATTTGAACATTTACAAAATTTACGATTTCCTAACTTAATTTTAATAAATAATTTTATCGAATTTTATCACTGATTAAATAAGAATTTAGAATTCTGTTACAAGTGGTACTTTTAGTAAATATTTTGTATTTTCACAAACTTAAACAAAAAATAATTTTAAAACCAAGTTAATATATATGGGGGCTTCTTATTATGTCAGAACCCGAGGTCACAGCTCCCCTAACCATCTCTATATAGGGCTCTGCAAATCCTAAAAAATATATTATTTTGTAGTTTCATAAAGTAGTAAATGTATTACACTATCCGTTCGTAATCTCGAACTCATCAATTTCTAAAATATTTCACTGTAATTTTCCATAGGATAATCTAATATATATTACACTCGTGTAAAATATTTAGAAGACGAAAGTTGAAAAATAATTCATGAAATGCTTGTAGGAAATATAAAATGATTTCGCTCTATATGATTTCATTTGTATTTATATTCGCTCATTTTGTTTTCGTTCTTTTGCTTTCGCTCTATTTTTAGGATATCTATATCTACAGAGTGATCTGCCTATCATTAACCAGCGATTTTCTCAAAAGGATTTTTAAGGACCTGTTTGTTTATTTTTTCAATTATTATGGAAATATTTATTCTTTATTTTAACGCTATTTGAAATTGTTAAACCTAACCCCTCCCCCCACTTCTTTTACCTTAAATTAATAGGTGTATACTATGAGTTTTCAAATAAGAACCGTCTTTCCCTTTGAACACCGACTTATTAATATATTTTTATGCACAACACTTACGCTCTATGAGAAATTCGCTGGTCCATGCTAAATGGATCGCCCATGTCTTCTTAGATGTGTTTATACATTAAGGACGAAAAAACAATCATTAATTTATTAATTAATATTAAACAATTAATTTATCATTGAAATAATCTATTCGAAAATTGACGATGATATACTATCCTGCAGTGTCGTGTATTACTAAATCTGAGGACCACCCAACCGTTCGAGGAGGTCGTCGAGGATTTAGGGCATGTGCTCAAAATGAACAATGCAAAGCGCATGTTAACAGTGTCTAATCAAGAAGTAATTATAATAAACGTTAATAATAATAACATAATCGTTTACTTATAATATACCGATATCATGTTATACGTAAACTATACATATGTATGTATTCGTATTTTTTATGTTCAGGTCCGTAGCTTTTCTCAACTAAGAAATGAATTTTCCGACGTGGATACGTTTTATATCACGTCCGAATCACGTTTACTCTCGCCACCATTTAGACGGTCAAGATCCAGGGGCGCACTAGCCGTCGAGCCGATTTTAAACACAGTTCCTGTGAAGAACGAGAAACAAAGGAGGACGAGGAGTAAAAGCCGGCCTCGTGCACTATACGTAGCCGATACAGATATCGTCAAAGTACCGCCAGGTATGTATGGAACGAATAATATAAAAAAAAAAAATTGAAAAGCATAAGATTTTAACTTCAAATAATAATAAATTCGAACTCGATAGATTATACGGTTTTAGATGTTATGAAAGAAGAACCGATTCGTGTACAAATAAGAGGAGCGAGAAAAACATTTTACCCGCCGTTAGTTCATCCACCGGCAGACGACTCACCGCCGGACAAAAGATTGACGTTAAATTGGGTGTATCCTTTTCCATAAATATTTTAAAATCTAATAATAATAATAATATATAATGCGTATAAAATACAGTGTTTGGAAAATTCCTTTTTTTTTCTTTTTTTAAATTTTACACTAGAATATTTCTTTGAATTAACAAAGAAAAACAGCTACATATTATTAATAGGTTACCAAATTTATCAGAATGGTGGCTATAGCTAAACTCTATACATTGATTTTGTTCTTTGATTCATTGGTGTCACAGCCAATGAATGAAGAAACTTTTCTTTTTTTTTCTTTTGAATTCAACCATTAATGGGATACTAATTTTCTATTAGCCATTCCTTAAAAATAAAATAAATGTATCTTTAAGAATGCATTATTTCCAAACACATTGACCAAATACGTAAAATATAATATTATTTATAAGTTTTCCTTTACTCGAGATGTATTGAATATAATGTATAGTTATGGGTACCGAGGGACTGATACGAGACGAAACCTGTGGGTATTGCCTACTGGCGAACTCCTATACTACGTAGCAGCCGTAGCTGTGCTTTACGATAGAGACGAAGATTCGCAAAGACATTATATCGGACACACCGAAGACATCCAATGGTAGGTTTTCTGAAAAAGTCGTTTACAGCGTTTTGCAGCGTACAGTTATTTAGATGTTATTAAATGCAATTAATCTCTGTTTATCATAATATACAGTATGGATATACATCCCTCCAAAGAAATGGTAGCATCGGCACAAAAAGCCGGCAGAACGCGTAAAACACAGGCTCATATACGAATTTGGAGTCCCGAAACTTTGTACACGTTGTACGTAGTCGGTAATGGAGAATTTGAAGAAGGAGTCAGCGCTCTAGCGTTTTCTCAGCTCGTATGTTATAGGGTTTTTTTCACATTTTTTATGTACACAAATAAATTACTATAGATATAAGTATCTTAAAAATATATCATTTCGTAGACCGGCGGAAATTATTTGTTAGCTGTCGATTGCGGAAGGGAAAAAATGTTATCCGTGTGGCAGTGGCAATGGGGTCATTTATTAGGAAAAGTAGCTGTAAGTGCTTACTACAATATGTATTTATAATTTTGACTAAAAGCGAACACTTGTAATTTCTATTTTACTCGCACAGACAATGCAAACTGAAGATATATTAGGTGCAGCTTTTCATCCGTTGGACGACAATTTAATGATCACTTACGGAAAAGGTCACCTGACATTTTGGACTAGACGAAAAGATGGATTTTTCGAAAAAATCGACATCATAAAAGCAGTAATAAAAAAAAAATTAAATTTCAATATTGATGTGATTTTCTCTCTTTGATTTATACGATTTGTATATGGTTAGCCTTCGAGGACGATTGTCACTAGCTTACAGTTCGAACAAGAAGGTGACGTAATAACGGCTGACGGTGACGGATTCATTACGATCTATTCAGTGGACAGCGACGGCGCATATTACGTCAGGATGGAGTTCGAGGTTAATAACAATAACATAATATAAACGAATCGTTTTTGTTTCTTGAGCACGATGCTACCCTACTTTCGTTATCGTTCTAGGCACACAACAAAGGCATAAATGCTTTAATCATGCTACCGGAAGGCACTCTATTATCCGGTGGCGACAAAGACCGTAAAATTATAGCTTGGGACTCGCTACAAAATTACAACAAAATTACTGAAACAAAAGTACAACATTTATAGCTCTAAATAATAACATTACATATTATTTAATTATTTTCATTTAATATCGCGCTCGGTTTGGCAGTTAACAGAAGTTTACGGCGGTGTGCGAAGCCTATATCCTCAACGGCCCGGTAGGAACGATGGCAACATATACGTGGGCACTATCAAAAATAATATTCTAGAAGGATCGATGCAGAGGAGATTCAATAGAGTATGGCGAGCAGTGTTCAAATAGATTTGAGAAACTTGTATGTTGACATATTTCGTACAACTTTTTTTACAGATAGTATTTGGGCACAGTAAGCAGTTATGGGGTTTAGCAGTTCATCCGGACGACGAACTTTTCGCTACTGCCGGTTACGACAAAAATATATGTCTTTGGAAAAGACACGCATTATTATGGAACACCCAAGTAAGTATACGAGGTGTGGCTAATAAATAACGAGACTGATATTACTACAACGATCTGTGCATCCGCCAAAGGTAGACCAACAGATGTGCATCGTTAATCGTCCTCTCTCGATTTTCGTACCTTCTATTTTTGTAGTTATATTATTCGGGCCGGAAAAATGACAGGTGTTTTAATAGAGAAACGAATTATCGTCAAATTTTATTTGAAACTTGGAAAAACTGCTACTGAAATTTATCGTTTGTTTAAAATAACTATACAACAATCAATGGTCATCACGTGCTCGAGTTGTTAAATGATCCAAGATGACCGAGAAGACGTGGAAGATAATGCACGTCCGGGAGATAAAAAAAGGGTGTATATTAAAAGGAAATATAACTACTTAAATATGTATACTATTAAAATAAAAAGTTGTACAGCATCAGTCTCGTTGTTTAATAGTTGACGCCTCAACTGACAAAGGAAAAAAAAAGATTATCAATTATTAATTTATTATATTAAGAGCAGCATACGTATTTAACAAAAAATATTAATTTGTTATACAAACATATATACTCGTGTATATACATAAATAGCTCCAACAATCTGTACAACCTTATGCACGAGGTTAGTTAAACTATTTGAAATTACAATTAATTAATAAACTAACACAAGTTTTAGAATAAGTTATTCGAGGCTAAGTGATTCGTTTAAATTATTTATTTTAAAAGAACTTTAACATACCTAATCTAGTGAAAAAAAATGTATATCATTAAACATGTATCTACCGTAACTGCAACAATAATATCTGATAAATTGTCTACAAATATATGAAGAGTACAAAATAAAATGTAATCCATTTTTGAAAATTATTCATCTAATCAAAACTTCCCTACACAGCTGCGTGGGCTATATGATTTTTTGACCAGTACATCCCATAATATCCAATTGAAACCTTTTTTTCACCTGATTTCCATCAGATGTTCCTTCAACATTCGATGATATAGTCTCGAAACATTATCAAATGTTACCATCATCTCGAAATTGTAAAAAATGGACTTCTATACCATTCTTTCCCCATGCCCTTCGTATATTTATAATCTTATAATATTCTACAAGATTATCTCGCCGTTCAATTTTTTTGAATTATATTGAAATGATTATATTAAATTATATTATTTTGAATTTCCACTTATTTTATAGCTGAATTACTCAGTATTTCTCGAACTTAATCAAGAGAAATCCATAAAAGAAGTAAAATTGAACGTGTCTCCTTTGTTCCCTTATTAGTTATCACACTATGATACTATAATCATACTATATTAATAGATGAACCGTTTTTTCCCGATAATTTATCTTTCAAAAAGAGTACTTCATTATATATGTTATTATTATATATGTCATTATATATGACAGTAAAATAAAATAATAACTGTTTTTCTCACACGCGTCACTAAAATATACTATAAACTAATAAAAAAAAAAAAAAATGTAATTTTCGTTTCAAAAATACATACAGACAGATATAATTTTACTTTTAAACGCGAGATATTTTTGTTTAAATGATTATAACATATGTCTAATATTATTATAGATTACATACGAATGCGTATCACTCACATTTCATCCGTTTGGCACTGCTCTCGTGGCCGGTTCCGTCGAAGGATATTTGATTATTTTGAACGCTGAAAACGGATCTGTGGCATCCAGCGTTAGAGTGTGCGGCTCTGCATTGACGTGCATGGGTTTCAATCCGGGTAATGCATATAATTATTGTACGTCATAATAATAAAATAACTTGTTATACCAGAATTTTAAAATGTACGGTAATTATAATAATATTATCATATGAATATATTATTAGATTATTGCTGTTATAACCTATAATCATCTTTATAGTAAATTCTAATAATATAAACGGATAATTATTTCAGCCGGTGACACGATAGCCATTGGTTCTCAGAACGGCAGTGTTTATCTCTACAGAGTGAGCAGAGACGGTTTTCAATTCAAAAAGTCGAATAAAATAAGAGGCGTACAACCTTTGGTGCATTTGGATTGGAGTAACGACGGAAATTATCTCCAAACAGTCACTGCTGAATATGACCTTGTTTACTGTACGTATCATACTATACGACAATGACCGTATTATATGTACCTTGATAAAAACGTGTTTAAAATTTTCAACTTTTTTAGTTTTTGATTCTGGATTTTTAGTTTTTAATATGGGTTATATTTTTTTGGTCTTTCGAAAATTCTCGAAAACCAGGTCTCTACGATTATGTTTGAATGAATTGAAATGAAAAAAATCTAATCGATGCTAACTTAATTCAGTATTATGTTAATATTCCCGTTTGTCCCAGGTTTTTAACAACGATTAAGAAAACTACTGGAAATATTAAAAATTACTTCGCAGTTTATCAATCAGACATAATTTGGTATCTCAAAGACTATTCTTTTTGTTGGTGATCGGAATAAGATAACTGGTAAAATATTTTATAGCAGATGCCAGAAAAAAAGACCAATAAATTCTCCGTGTTGAAACACGAACAATATTGTAATTTATTTTTTGTTAAAAATAAAAAAATCAATCCCGATCAAATTAATTTTTCGTATTACAGTATATAACTAAATTAGTCACCTTCTATAATATCCAACCTTTCCGACTTCCCACCTACAACAATATCTTATATCTTTTTAGAATAGCAGCCGTGAAATGTTTAATATTAATTACAATATTATTGTAAATCGTTTATGAAATTACTGTTTTAGGGGACGTCAAAGGATTGATTCAAGAAAAAAGCGCGTCCGCGATGAAGGACGTCAAGTGGTATACATACAACGCGTCTATAGGATATTTAATTTCGGGTAAATATAAATATGCTGTACTACGTATTTAAGCTTTCCAGTGATTTATTTTTTTTTCAATTACAACAATAATACAATACATCGAATATATAAAAAATAATGTTTTAGATAAGTTGTACATACATGACTAAGTAGATGACAACTAAAAAATTATGATGATAACTTGCCATAACCCCACACGTTCGATGCCCAGAGAGTGTAGTTCACCATTTCCCATTGGTCCATGACAATATGGGTGCGTCAGTAATTGTTTATCACAATATAATTTTGCCAATAAACGTGATAATGAAATTAAAAAATGAATAAAATATTTCTTTTTTCTTTTTAATTAATATTTTATTACTACATAATTTTACAGTTGTTATTTACAGAATTTCATATTTTTTAAATTTTACATTGATAGTACTTAATAATAAAGTTGGATCTAAATGATTGGATCTTACTGAAAATTGTAACACTTAATGTGGTATTTTTTTTAAATAAACTATATGTTTAAGAAGGTTCGTTAAATATTTCATAACTCCTGTTATTTTTCATAAATGATCTCTGTTAAGTTTTTAAAATTCTACATTTTTTTTTTTTTTTTTTTGATTATTTTATACAAGGAAATCCCGTAATTAAAATTAATAATAATACTATTATTATTTTAAAAATCATATGTTATGATCATGAACAAAAATTATATTAGATTGATAGTTACAGTTAGGTTACAATATACTATCAATACAAAACTATCATGCATTAGTGTATTATAATTTATAGGACTTGGTACTGTTAATTTTTGTTTTGGCGGAAAAACGTTACATCATATTAAGTGAATTACAAGTGAACATGGCGCGTTTGTAGTCATCATACCTATCTACTTAGTCTTATGTATGTATATACAGGATGATTCTCTTAGCGTGCTCACCCCATCTTTTTGATTACACTTTGCATATATTCATATTCTGATATTTGGAATTTTTAAATATAGTTAAAGCCGATAATTTCGAATACTTAGATTTTCCACAACATTTAAGTCCAGTGGCGATACCGAATTCGGTTTTTCAAATGAGAACCTTTATTGAAATTGCATAAACAGACGGGGTATTACTTTAAATTAATGTTAGCAATAGTTTATCGTTGCTTACAGATATACATTAAATTTGCCCACTACTACCTTCCGATTTTCTCACCTATAACAGCGGCTGCCTCCGTTTTTGAATATCTATCTGTTACATTAATAGAATTGTATACACGGAAAGCATTGTTTTAGATCATCGCCATGAAAATGCATTTTGAATTGTAATCACGAGCTTGTTGAATTGGTATAGTAATTCTGTCGGACGATATTTATTTTCATTATAGGTATTTGGCATAACAGATTTTATCCAACCTCGTCAATGATAAGCACTGCCAACAGATCAGCCGCCCACGATCTTTTTATAACAGGAGACACGGATGGATATCTTCGGCTGTTTAGGTATGTAAACAAATAACACATTTTAAATGCAATGATTCTGAATTTTAAGCAAAACGCATTTTGTCGGACTTGCTATCATTTTCCCGAACTTACAATGAAAAATAGTATTTAAACACATGCGTACCTATTATTTTAGATATCCGTGTATTCTCACCAAATCCGAGTACAACGAGGAAAAAGTTTATAGCGGACAAGTTTCGAGTGCCAGATTTTTGTACAACGACCGAAACGTGGTGACCGTCGGAGGAACAGATGCTGCCCTAATGTTATGGGACGTAATAGAAGATTAAGAAGAAGTACGAAACGCTTTACAAAATATTTTCGTTTACATTTTTTTCGACTCGAGCACAATATTCGAATAATACCTGTTCTTCGTCAATTTTTTTCTTCCGGCCCATTCGGTCGACGACGTGGTGAGATTGAAAACGCGAAACAAATATGGACGGATGGATAAAACGAGTGAGAGCACGTCGGAACGTCTGTTTCAAAAACGATACGTATGCGAGGTGCGCGGAAAGATGAAAAATCACAAAACGTCATGTCCGTCAATCGGTTCGGGTTATTTCGATAACAATAAGTACCTATCCGTTTTATAGCTAAGTTACCGTTTTTATAGCAAACTTATATTGTCGATCGCACAAATTGTTCTACTATTATTTTATACTTTGAATTTTTATCGATACCCCCACTGCTTCGTTTTATATAAAATAACATTATTTATATATATATATACAGTAACGCAGTTTGACATTTTGTTCGACGAGCAAAAGATATTATATTTTTCGAGATCTGTGATTCTTATATTACTCATATTTTATAGTGTCCTAATATAATTATATATTACCTACGGTTTATGCTCCGAAACGGAGTTATTATTGTACTGTTAAAACGTATATTTTGATATGATGTCGGAACCCCGAAAATGATAGTTTATATACCTACCTAATATAGTAAAAACACATTTTCACTAAATATATATTATACATTTATACATACAATATGTTACATAAAATAATTATATATACCTATATATCATGTATTACACTGCCTAGCATTTTAAAGTTTTCCATTTAGAAAATATTATACGTTAACATTTTATTAACATAATATATTTTATAGATAAAAGTAATGTTATAGCGTATAAATGAATAAAAAAAAGTATAAAATTTAATAATTTTAAAAGTTTTTTTTTATATTTCTTCAATGACACGAATATCATATCATTTATTCTCATTGCAAAATTCTTAGCTGTTTCTGATTTCTCTCTACTCATAATATACCCGAAGCACCTCAGTCTGTTTTCTCTCATTTCGTCCACTGTCGAAGGCACGCCTAAACTATCTCTTATGTTATACGTAATACGGCGGCGATTCCACTTTTTGTACAATAGACCAAATGAGTTACATTTCAGACATGTGATTATTTTCTAAATAACTTTGATAACTTTAAATTGATTACTGAAAATGATCGTAACTGGTCAAAGGATGAATTTGTAGTTTTTTTCTTTTGGACTTGCAATGATATTTACTCATTATAAGGAATCGACGGTCGACTCCAATTTCGAATTTTTACGCTGGGAATGCTAATAGTACTGTCCTTAAGAAAATTCTAAAATATGTATAGACTGCATGCTTCTATGCGGCTTTATAATACAATTTTCGTATCTGTTAAAGACCTGACCCCAGTGTAGAAATCGGTGCCACTGATATGGACAAACAGACGGACTTGACTAAGATAAAAGATGTTCTGAACTTATATTTAAAAACATAGAAAATAAGATGAACGATAATATGGATTCATAATAAAAATATTTCATTTTTTCACTGATTCAACCTGAACAGGATAAATTATTTAAAACAATGTATTTTTTTACATATAAATTTTAATCCCGTTACTTATTTGTCCATAGGATTATTTAAAACTTATTATTTCCTGTGAAAACATGAAATTTGAAATTTGATCATGCAAATAGTTGGTGAGAAGGGGAAAGTTGAAACTCCCAAGAGACACATCCTTGATACTAACAGCACACGTATATTAAATAAAATTTTCCTGTCGTCAATCAACGGGGATCATAGGAGTATACTTAGTACAAAGCAAAAAAAGTAATTACCCTCCTCCCCAACAATATGGTAAAATTCATATTGAAATTCGACCAACATCCACCTGCAAAACAACTATAATTCCCGAGTTTGAACTCATTCGATCCAGGGAGAACTTGAACTAGAAGTGTCCAAAATTAGCAGAAAAAATATATACTGCAGACTCATTCCAGTGCAGTAATATTCTCTATTTTCTGAGAAAATTCGACAAAAATTACAATTTCTTTAAAAATTATTTTTTCCCGGCAATAAATGGGTTTTTTTAAAAAGAAAAAAATCAATTTTTCCTTTTGATTATTAAAAATAACATTACAACAAATGAATAAAAGGTAAACAAACTGAAGTTTTTGTTTTTTTTTTTTAAATATTTGAAATATTAGAAACTGTACATGTATATTAGATTATGATGAAAAAAATAAAGTGCTAAAAGGAAGAACGCGCGTTAAACAATACATAACATCGTTCGTTAAACAAATAAGTTGTAAATAAGAATATATTATAAAACTATAAATTCTTTGGTAACATAAAATATTAAAATAAATAAAGTAATAAAAAAAAGAGTCGGCTAAGAAATAAATCGACGTAATAAGTAATAATTTTAGTCTATCCGAACGGTTAAAATTAGTAACACAGTTATCGACGTGCAGAACGTCACCAAGGTCTCCACATGTTCGGGTCCGAACCGGGACCGTCCCGGGGTCTAGGAGGGGCCGCGGCGGCTTGCGGAATGTGGACCGGGATCGCCGAACCGTTGTCGTTTCCGGGCGTAGCCGCCGGAACAGTTTTGTGCGAGGTGGCGGCGGTCATGGCGGCAATAGCGGCGGACGGGGCCGTCGTAGGAACGTTTACCGGTATGTCGCCTAGAGGCCTTTTGTTGGGGCACGACGCCGTGTTTTTTTTCATTGAGAAATCTAGCGGCGGACTCTTTACGGCTGCGGCGACGGTCGCGGCGGCCGCGTCTTCGGCCCACGAGCTGGTCGACGACACGGCCGGTTCGTCGCAGTACACGTTGTACGGCGTCCGATCGACGTTGGCCGACGACGGGCCTTGGTTATGGTGTACCGTGGTGAAAGCGCTCGCCGCCCGGAAAAGCCCTACGGACGGCGGCAAATGAGGTGGGGTTGGTAGCGGCGGTGGTACGGGCCCTGGGATCGCCAACGGGTCGTTGCCACCAACCGCGGCTTGGAGCGACTGCAGCCGACCGTTTGCGGCCATCAGGTGCACCGCGGCGGCCGGGTCGTAAGGCTGCTGTGGCTGATGATAATCGTTTGCGTACATGGGCGGCACCGTCGTTCCGGAAACAGCCGAGACGTACCTCATTTTGGCCACGCACGAGTCCAAATGCGACATCAGCCGTTTTTTGATGTTTTCGTCGATGCCGTCCAGCCGGCCGACGAACCGGTTCACCTCGCCCGCGCACTCTTGGTAACCAGTCTGGAACTTTTGCACGACCGCCGCCGCCAGGGCCGCGGACGACGACGATGACGACGGATCGACCGCAGAACCGCCAGTGACCGTCGCCACCGCCGTCGCTGTAGTCTGGTGTCGGCCGCCACCGCCCTTCTGTTGGTGCAACGATTGCAAGTGCCGCACCGTCATTTCCAGGATGTCTGCTTTTTCCAATTTCGTGTGTCTTGCCGGCTTAAAAACACAATTCGATAAAATATTACAAAAAAGAAAAATGCTATAAAAAACATTTATTCATGAATATAAAACGCAGAGAAGACGTAGTTCTAACTTGTAGGCTATCGGCTTTCTGATTTGAATTAAACGTTAAGTGTACATGCATTTTAAATCTAGTCGGGGCATTGAAGAGGTCATTTTTTGATATTCTTTGTAATTTTTTTAATGACAGGTAAACACACAGAAAAAAAGAGAAAGTTAACAGTTTTATTATTTTCGATTTTGTGTTTATGTTATTATTCGGTTAAAAATAATTGTAGAAATATACAATTTCCACCGTTTACTTATATTAGCCGTTTCTAGACGTGGTAAAATTCTGACAATGTTAAGCTATTTATATACGTGATATTTTCATGTATTTTGAGTTTTTGTGTGGATAAAACTATTTTTACCAAACAGAAATATTTAATATTTCAAGTTTTTCCGAGCGTATAGTCTCCAAAATATGTACTGATTATAATAATAACAAAATTATTATCAATTATTTTTCACTAAGTCGATTTTAATATTGTGAAGGAGACTCTCGCGTCATTTTATCAAAATGTTGTTTGAAAAAAATATAGGCTAGTGCTAGGCTCCCTAAACCCCTTTAAGAAAATACGATTTTGTTTTATAAGAGGTGGGTGTCTGTCCCGGAATTTGTTCACCTAATTAGTAAAAAAAAGTTCACCACGGTGATAATGACTATGATATTTTGATATTCTATATATATAGATATTATATATCTTGATATTTTCAACAAATATTTATATTACTTCCCAAAAAATGGTCCTAGTTACGCCACTGATATTATTTATAGACAATGTCCGAAATTCCTAACCGTGAAATATATTTAAGACAAAATTAATTTTAAATTCATACCCGATTGTACTTATACTACGTGTACTGCGTATGATGTATACAGGATCGCCAGAATTTTCTGTTTAATCAAATTTTCAATGAAATACCTATCTCAAAAAAATACTTATATAAAAACTGTAATCTTGTGTTGCACACGTGCTATAAAAATTTTACATTATCCAAATTTGGGTAATTCATATTCAGTTCATATTTGAAGATTGAAACCAATAATCACTTTTAATTTTCAAATAGCAACCTAACAATACTAAAAGTTCTATAAGAAAAATAAAGTATTAGTTTAAATTTATTTTTGTTTTTAAATGTTTTGTTTAAAAATAAATACAAAAAATATGATAATGATTCCAAAAAGTTTTTACTGTTTTACTGTAACGTGAAAGATCGTGTAAAATAAAGCTACAGTCAAACTCTGTAATTATACTTACGATTCATATTTTATTTAATTATATATTAAAACCAAATATATATTTTATAATATAATGCACAAGGCACCTCGTAATATAAAAACAGTGGAGTAGTCATAATTTCCCAATGGGGTCTGAGGGAACCCAAAATGATATGTTTGTCTTTTAACGTTAATTTCTTTAATTACGTTTAAAATTAATTTTAGCTATTTAATTACTTTAAATGTGAAACATGAAAATGAACTGACAATACACGTGTACCCATAATAGGGGTACACCATGAAATGATAAAAATGAAACGATTATAATGAAAATATTTTAAAATACGACCGAAGAGAGATCATACAACCTCCACCCACCCCCCTCCTGCAATGGCTATAAACCCGGTAGTTAAGACAAAATTATATTTTTTTACATCAAATAATAGATACGATTTTGAATTTTCTTTCCCTCTCCCCGGTGTTTTATTTTTGCGGGCGCCCTTGCGTGTCCTTCTCGCCACGCTACTGTATAAAGATGAAAACGTATTTATGCCTATATAACTTTACATGCTATATCGGTGCAACACTGCAATATACGGTCAATATTCTAATATTCCATGGTGATTAAATCCGTTAAATTACGTCGTTCTCTTTAGAACATTTTACATTCGTCACATATTGTAGAATACAAATTGACAGTATAAAGATCAGTATGACTGCAGTGCGACATATGCGCTGCGGTGATACCAAATTCAGAAAAAATAACGAGAGAAAAATATAATATAATATAAAATAGAGACGTTGCAAAATAAACAACACCTTAATAACGTACACAAATGAAAGTAAGATATATTATTGTAAACCTACGGTCGGAATATATTATTCCTGAAAAAGAACAATCGTGATTAAATTTGAAATTTAAAAAAAATAATAATACAATTTACGCGTCGTTACTAAAATATAGGGTTCGATCATATTCTCTCTCAGGGACGTTCCGAACAGGCGGTTGCCTACCCCTTCCCCCCCAAGATGTTTTTGTCAATCGGCAAATCGTACATTCGGTAGAAAAAAACATCGAAATAGTCGGCGAAATGTCAATGTTATTTTATTTTATAAAACCGTCGTCACCGATGTTGGGGAGTTGGAGGTACTGTTTATAGTATTATTATTATAGACTGTGTAGACCGTAGACGCACAGAGTAGAGGTCGTAGATAATAGTAATATACATAAACTTATTATTCTTATTACTAACGAGTTGTCTACACTAGATAGCGACTGGAAATCTAATTTATGGTACGCCACTGTGCGGTTTAGATCGATCAGATGATGAAATGTTCCGAAAACACCCGCGTTACCGCGACAACGACACGACGCGCGAACGTTGTAGACACGCGGCTAAAAGCGAATGAGTGTGTGTGTTTTTCGACTTGTGTTACGATTCGGCGCATCTTTTATCAATATTTAATGTTGTAAATTTATTTCGTACCGCGGTTATCTACACGGTGTAGATAACCGTGATTTGCACGTTGGTGATTGCCGCGATGACATAATTTTTTATTAGTACTCCGATAGTGTGGTGTAAGACTGTGAGTATTTGTAATAATTATTATTCACCTATTACACGTGTTTAATGTTTTAAGGCAACAAATGCAGAATATAGGGATTTCTTTGCCTTTTATGAAATTTACTTCGGCGATTAGTTAGTCGCGGGGGACTTTGAAAAAAAGTTTCTTCCTAGAAATCTTTAGCTACCTACCAATTTGAAATACAACATTGATAATAATAATAATAAAACATAATATACTTAAACATTTTTTTGACTGAATCTCAAAGTACATCTCAAAATAATCTCAAGGTATATAATATACTACAGCGTTAGATATTTCGATGGGTTTGATGGGTTTCATTAAGATTTAAAAATAATTACGCACGCCGGCAGCCGTGCCGATGGCCGGTTCAGAGGTACTGTTGACGGCTGATTACACAAAGATCGTTTTGAGCGCATGCAAAATCGTAAAATACAGAAATATGCATTACACGTTAAAAAATAGTTAAATATGCAAAATAAAATTCTGTATTTCAGTTCTGTTGATCTTAATTCAAACTTGTAGCTTGTCTAGCTACTTTTTGGACTATCTAAAAAAAAACATGCAAATAATAATTATAATACTAATTACATACATTACATACCTGTATAAAATAAAGACAATGTATCATGTTTTTGGTTTTCACATAAATAATAATGATGATAACAATACAATTTTAATAAAATATTTGAGTACGTACATTTGTTTTGTATTGGTATTTCACTCTTACGTATAAATATATACAACTACAACTATATTTTTTTTCGTCATTTTCATGTAGTCGGCAATTTTTCAAACTGATACATCCCCCCCCCCTGGAACGCCCCTGTTTTCTCTTAGTTTTTTTTTTCATACATTTTAATCATGCCAAATGGTTTAAAAATTCATTTTTCCAGATTTTATGCTAATATTAAATTTTTAATAATTGCTTTTCTCAGCTCGTTCAACTATTATTTGAACTAAACTAGTACTTTTTGGTTTTTCGATACGATACTCGATTACAGTAGATTATAGTTCACGTTTTTCGAAAGTTCAAATTATGGGTTAAGGTTAGGGTTTTACGTTTAGTACCAGTTCTGAATCGGTTTATAACGTATTTATGGGTTTGTTTATTATTCTTTGATGGCTGTGCCGATACATTAATATGTCAATTTGTCAATATTAATTACAGTTGTACATAATGTATCCCTGTTCTCTATAAAGTTTTACTGTTAGTCAGCACAAATTTATTCTAAAATTATAAATAAATACTATTCAAAATTTTACAATAGTTTATGTACAAAATGTGGTTGTTATCCTAAATAATTGTCTGTTATCTAATTAAAATAGTTATAAGACAAAAAGTACGTTAAAACACTATACGTTTAGTTTTATATTCTCTTTTTTTAAACCTATCATTTTCCGATCATTATTTTACTCTAATGTATTTTAGATGTATTCAGCGAACGTGAAAATTATTAATTTATATTTTTTAAGGTAATTATAAAATATATTTAATATGCATCATAAATATAATTTTTATCAAGGTTATCTTATGTTTCCGTTCAATTGCTGAACTCAAAAATATAATATTATTATTGTGTTAATAATTATTATAATACTATCATTGATTTTATAATATTGTAAAATTAATGATACTATCTTACATCTTTTTTCAGCGCGTCCAATATGAGAGTTTTCAATTCGTTCAAACACTGATTGATCCTGGCTCTTCTTCTTTTCTCCATAATCGGTTTATTATTCTAAAATAATTAATACGAACAATTTTTATACGTTCCAATTTGAAAAAAATAATAATTTATTAAAATTTTCATTTCACCTGGAGATAAATATAATAGTCTTGCATATTATTAAAAATATTAATTTTTTATCAGAGTACTATGATAAGCAGAATACTCAAAACACACGTATAGTTATAGTTCGTACGAACTAAGTAGTTACATTATCGTTTATCGGCTATCGAGTACCATTAAACAAATTAAATAAATTAAAACCGTTAATGTTTTTGAATTTTTAAACTAGGTAATGAAATATTATATCAACGTAAATTGCCGAAAATCATACGTATCAATTAACGTTCGATTAACAGTAGGTATTCATTAATCTGTCAAAACAATAACGTAAAGAATACGATAAAAAAAAAATTTAAAATATGACGTCAGTGTAACCTGTTGATTCGTCACTCCACGTATCCGATATTTCTGTCCTTCACGTGCGAATCGATATCGACGCGTATACGTGTAAAAACATAATAATAAAGGTTCTAGGAAAAAAAAAACTCAAGTCAATTTTGTATAGTTTTCAGTACAAACAAATTAGACTTTCACAATAATTGTCATTTCTCGCTTTCAATTTACTAAATGACATGACGGCATAATATATAATCGCTAAATTGCTATTGCGTTATAATTATGACTCGTGCTTTTTTGTGCCAAAAAAAAGTACCTACTCGTGTCGTACGGACGTAAATATAAATAGAAAAAAAACGATAAATTATAAAGAAAAAATAAAAAAATTGACTATGTGGGACTCGGGTCCGAAGAAATAATAATCTTGTACTTGTGTTTACCTTTCGCAATTCCGATTTGGACAGTTCGTAACGTCTGGGCTGACCGGACGACGACATCCCGGATGAATGTACCCTGGGATCGTCGTCTTCGGAGTCATTGTTCGTCGATGACATAGTATTATTACTGTTACCAAGTATACGGGCGACTTTACATCCACCTGTCTTTTCTTTTCGCTACGCGGAGTTTGGATGCGGCACGGCGACGGCGGCGATCGAAAACAGATCCGCTACACATCGGACGAAACATCAGGCGTCCGCGTAAAAAAAAAAAAAAAAATGTTTTTTAACACTGTGATATTCGGCCGTACGACCACCGCGGGGCGACTCCGACGGTAGATGCGCGAAATCCGAAAACGATAAACGATGAAAAACGTTTTTTTTTCTTTCTGTCGGCTCGTCGCGATGAACGCTGGTGATCTAAAACGCCGACAAAAGCGAACCGGTTCATACTGCCGCGTTATTTCAAAACCGAATGGCGCGGGGCGCCCGAGTTCCCACGTTGTGCACGCGCTGCACGAAAATCGCCACGATTGCGCCGCACTATCGCGCGCGATACCTGTTGCCCGATGTTATTACAATACGATATCGTCTGCCGAACGGGCGCGCATCGGTATTGTACTCACCCCTCCCCCCTCCGTAATAATAATAATAATAATAATAGTAATAAATAATAGTGGTAATAACGCGTGGCGCGGTTTAGGCGTGTATAACGGATTTTTTTCTCGACAATTTCGCCAATGTCATAACACGCCCGAAAATACAATACGATATTATATTCATAAGCGTAAATAGCGCAAATAAATTATTATTATTATTTTTTTTTTTTTTTGGAGGGGGAGGGAGGAGGCTTAAGTCTCGATTATAGTGTACGCGTACTTAGTGTTTACTCGATATGAGGACTTGATTTAGAGTGGCTCGGCTGAGTTTTGTGTAAATGGCCAAACACCCAATATTCGCACCAACTGCAATATTTAAGCGTACCGTGTAAATTGATTATAGATGTTATTTTTGTAATTATACAATGTTGTTAAATTTCCACGGGGACATTTTTCAAGTTCAAACATTTCAAACTATCTACGAGTATATTGTACGTATAGGTATATACAATGCAGCTTGAATTACTATAGGTACATCATTATTATAGTCGTCAAAACAAATATTGGAATCGATTTCAAAAAGTATCGTAGTATTGAAATATCATACATTTATCTATTAACCAGTCATGTGTCCCGTATAGAGAAGGAAACACGAACGTCGCTTAACTATTCATTTTTTTTCAAAATTTCTCAAAACGTCTATTTTAGACGTTTCTAACGCGAAAATCCCATAGGTACCCATATCACGTCTTCGGTCTTGTAAAATATTAAACAATAACATAATACCGCGTGTGTTTCGTTTATTGACTTTTCGATTAATTCGCAAATGTTTCGCAGTAATCAAAAAGTAAAAGCGTATACGTTTTTTTTTTTTTTTAATTTTTACTAATCATTTCCCACGCGTATATTACAATATAATATAATATTATACATATAATTATAATATCACGTATGTAATATAGTATTAGTATACAATATTCATTATCTTTTCATATAGCCCACGTTTATTTTTTTCCTGCGCGATAGTGGTTTAGTCCCAATATCCCGTTCGCGATTCGTACAACTCGACATTCAAATGTAGAACACTGTTTTTTCAAAAAAAAAAAAAATATACACATATATGCGTATAAAACATTTCGTATTGAACACTCGAGTCATAAAATAATGTACACCTAATGTAAACGTTTTAAATCCATATTTAACCTATTTTAACATAGAACAGCTACTTAGATGATTTTCGCGTGAATAAACAAAATATTAGACTGGAAACACGAAAATATTAAAATATGTTTAAATGTGATCGATTTTGACGAGCAACTCTATACCTACTTATTTATACCGTCACTCTAAAAAAAAATACCATCCCCCCCCCCCTTCTAAACTTTCATATTATATTTCACCGAGTTGACAGTGACGTTACAATCAGAATAATAACATCGATACCATCATTTGGAATTCATTCGTATTATTATATTTTGCGTCGGTATGCGTTGGCGAGGGCACACTTGCGCGATAACACCGCAGATGATAATACTGCGGTGTCTCGTTAACCAAATCCAAACCGCGGCGATTTATTGCTATCGATTATACATATTTTAAAGTCGCGAAATTTTATGAACATTATTATAAAAAATAAATATTTTTCAATAATTCAAACAAATTTCGAATTTAAATTAATAATAATAGCGCGACGGTAACAATGTATTTATAGCGTTGTCGATATTTTGTTTTATGCAATTTACTGCTATAATGACATGCATGCTATAATGATACATGATATATTATGATCAGCGGATTTGCCTTTATCATGCTCTGTATTTACCGGACAAAATGTTTTCGGCCATATAATGTTATTGATAAAACTTATCTATACAAACTTAGTAATAATTAAACATGCATTTCAAAAACTAATTCTAAAATGAGTAGTGAAATGAACTTTTAAAATCCCATCATTAAAATACTTTAAAAACCCACTCACTTTACAATATACCAGGTAACTACTACAAAGTATAAACAACTGCTATTTAATTCAATGAATTATTATAATATCATAAAATACGTATTTAAATGAAACCATTAGATATACAACTTACCTTATTTAAGAAAAAACATATCAAAGTATATAATTCATGGTATGATTTTAATATTCCATTCTATAATATTGTACTTTGTAATAATTTACACAATTTCGTTAGTTTTATACCTACAATAAATAATAATTATTATTATTAATATATTAGTTGGTCTTTTATAATAAATCGGTCGTTATTTTCGTATATATTTGTATACACTAGCTATTACAGGCATTTAAAACATTTAAAAATAAACTTTTCAAATAATTGTTTGTGTTTTTAGATGTGCATCAATTCTAACGAAGAATCAAAGTTTATAAAAACGTAGGTTTTAAAATTAACTACTAGTTAAACAATTTATAGTTTCTGGTAGCACGAGTCTTTTCAAAACTATAATCATTAAGAAGCCTAAAAATGTTTGATGAATTTTCAAAGTTTGATGGAAGTAATACATAAATTTATCTTGCTGAAGAACTTGTTGAATCAAACAGATGTAAATCTAATCCTACATTTACAAGTCTTGTGCTTACATCACTGCCAATAATTCTTCCTAACATTACGAGTAAGTACTAAGTTAAATAAAATATATTTATATTAGAAATCGTGATGTTAGTATTTATTAATTTTGAAATAAAATATGTATTTTATATTAAGCTATTTCTAAAAATGACGTATTGAACGGCCCAAAGAAACAATTCACTAACTGATTTTTGAAAACTGACGAAGTAGAAGGAATGAAGGGTTGTGATATTTTTCGTTCTATAAATATGGTAACTGACAATACTATCACTACTATTGTTTACGATACGCGGGTATGTTATATTTAGTTACAATTAATACAGTTTTTGTTATTTGTTTACACGCTTCAAAATTACTATCATATTTTAACAATATTATGAAAAACTAAATTAAATTGATTATATGATTAGAAAATTAATACAGTATACACAGTAAAATATGAATTAACAATTCATAACAATAAACAATAATTTTTCTATAATTGCTTAATGTATTTTATTATTATCAAATTATAAAAATTTAGATTAACGGCGTAAAATGTTCGATTGAGATGTCACCATTTCAATTGATGTGTAATAAAGAAAAAGAGATCAATGGTTTAGCTTGTTCTTTCAAAGATGTTGTCAGTTTTCCCGAAAAAGTATCTCCTTTGCTTAAAACCTTCACAAAATTCAAAGAGTAAATTTAAAATTTACGTTATTTATTTGTATATAGATATATTAAATACGTATATTAATTTATTTTGTAATTTTGTTTTATACACAGACCTGATACTAACGAATCTGGATTTAAACACACAGCCGTATCTAAAAGTCAATCTTCCTCAAAACAACCATTAAAATCCATTTTAAAAAAACTGGATAGCAACGTTGAACGTAAAGGACGGGTTACGTTTAATTTGAATTTACATATCCGTTATATTCCCAATAGATGTCGATCGGCCAATGCCCGTCCACCAAATTCAAATGTTAACGGCTATAATATGGGCACAAAAAAGGTCCAACAGGCTCGTAATAGTAACAATATTTCTAAAGGATCGAATTGTCAAGATGTAAACATCAATTCTAGAATTTTTCGACCGCAGCGAAATTTTAATGGAATGGCACGCCAAACTGTCGATAGAGTAAATGTAATTAATTTAATATTGGCATTTCAACTAAAACAATTTTTTAATTTATAGAAAAATAACTATGTACAAGAATCTAGACCTCGTTATATTGAAACTTGTCATGGTTACGTTAACAGTTATAATAAACCAAACTATTCAAAACCATTCCACAGCGATACATTTGTATTTAAAATTGAAAAAATTCCCAATAACGTCAGAGTGCGTGATTTAAAAGCTGCTTTAGTAGATCACGGAGTGAAACCATTGTATGATTCGAATTATATTAATTTATATTTCTTATAAAAACCGTAACATAATATTTAATTTTTTTTAGATATATCACCTGGAAAGGACCAAGAGGTTTTGCATACTTACATTACAGTAATTCTAATGGTTTCAATAAGGATCATGTCGTGGGCTCGTTGAATAAAATACGCTTTAAAACTAATGGCGTTGAAACTTTTCAATTACAAACGCTCATCGTAACTGAAAGTCAACTTTTTTAATTACCTATAATGTTTGACCTACGGTTCATGTTAAATGTTGGTCCATTAATATACTTACTGAAAACAAACATTTTTTATTCTTATTTTGAATCTTTAACAAAATGTAATATATTTTAGTAAGATGTACAGACAGAACAAAAAATGTGTTTTTTTTCATTAAAACCACCTTTTTTTATATCCTCTAAAAACACCAATACTTGAGATAATCCGAAGTTTCTGCAACAATAAATGCTGAAATACAGTATATCTGCGAACGAATACTGACTGTATATCCTAAAGATTCCTTTAAATCCTATTCATTTTCTTTTTAATGTGTCGTGTATTTCAATACCTTTTCCATTAATTCTATGCATTTATAGTACTTAAAAAAAAATGCACAATTATTAGTAAATTGCAGCATATACATACAGGTATTTATATTATGTTTTATTTTCCTGTTACGTGCGTATTGTTTCCGTTTTATGTATATTTTAATTAGTTGTTTGTCAGTCATACACGAAGGGTTATAAGTTACAAATTCATAACGGTCATTGGAATGTTTATAATGTCTAATGCTTAATGATTAATGATTAATAATTTTGGCTGAATAAATTCAAATGCTGCTCTTTGTGGCAAAAGCTTTTTTACGTACACAGTTTTAAGAACCCAAACGTTTTAAGCATAGGGTAATTATTGTTTTAAACATTGCAACAATCATTAATACGTGTGTACAAAAACTACTAAATCTAATGAATCAAAACAATTTAAAAAGTGAAAAACTAACGTAGCTTTGTTGTGCGACAGTTATTTAAGAATAAAGCCAACACGGCTCTCGAAAATCGTCTCGTTTATAATTATACAATGTCGCTTGTGTTCAAACTCCGATTTCAACGCCCGAAATTCACGGTCCAAGTGTATAAGAGAACAAAACGTTACAGACGAACAGACATAACCGTTTTTCGGAAGTGCGCAAATTCGTTATGACCGCGCGATACGATCGGACGCCCTCGCCCCGCCTGCACGACCGTTTTGTGCTTAACGGTCGCGACGTGCCCGCGGGTACGCCGGGGCGCCGCGTTCCGGTGCCGAGTCAACGTGAGAGATCCGCGTCCGAGTTTCCGGTCCACGGCCCGTCGCCGCGGCTCTTCCCTCGGACGGGGGTGCGAGCGAGCAAAACGACAATAATTATTATTATAACGCATTATAATCGTGTTTCCGTCGGCCGGTCTGTGCGTGCGCGTGTGTCCGGATACCGGTTTTTTTTTTTTTTTTATGTTTTTTTTTTCTCGTTTTCGGTTTCCCTCTCCTCCCCCGTTCCGCGTATTATACCTGCGCGCAGATCGCCGGGCGACGGGCGAACGATACGAACGGGACCGGGGCCGCTGTGATGGGCGGCGCAGAGGGCAGGGGTAACACGGACGATAGGTTAATTACTCCCGGGGATGTCTGACGCGGTCTATTATGATTCCGGCACACGTGTGTGTGTGTGTGTGTGTGTATGTGTGTGTGCCTACCCGCGTGTTTTTCTATAATGTATGCCGACGGCCGTGGGAACCGGACCGACGGCCGCTACGCGATATTACAGCGTTATAATAAATTATTATAGCACGATAGCGACGTGCCCGCGCGCGCGATATTATAGTGGCGGTGGCACCGGTAGTAGTGGTAGCGGTAACCCGTAGTCTCGTCCGGGAAGGTGGTGGGAGGGGGGCGAGGACGCGATACCGCGTCCGCGATAATATTTATTATCGTATACCGCGTGTTGCGAGTACGCGCGATAGTCGCCGCGCCGCGTTCACCTGTTCGCCGCCGTTGTTCCCGGACCGTTTTCGCGACCGTACACAATTATTCATCGTCGGGACACGGCGAATTTTCGTTCGCCGGGGACAAGTTTTAGTTGCGATATTAGCGCGCGAATATTGACCTATAGGTATCATCAAACCAACACGGATATGAAACATTGTCGAGACGGGTTTTTTTTTTTTCATTATTTTTCAATTTTAAAGCGAAATATCACGAAATGCTTACAACTCGCTTAGAAAATATTAAAATAAATTGAGAAAAAAACCACGAGACGATACACATAACGTTCATATCTTTGAGTTTGGTAACAGGTCAATTCACTCTAATTTCAAAACGCCGCGGAATTGTCGCTGCTGAACGAACAGTTCGTTGCTACGTCACGTGGTTGCGTGACGGAGACAGCACACGCGGGTACGGCGTCCTCTTAACAATAATAATAATAACGTTGTCCGTGCTGTGGCGCCGTCACTCGGCATGCCGGAACGCGGGACTGCGGATAAACGTGCGTCTACGCTTATGGTTGTCGGAAAGAGAGAAACACAGAAAACGTGTTCGCGCGTTGTAGAGACGCGGAATTTCGCATACGAAACGAACGCGGGGAGGTACAGACACGTTGTTGCGGCGGTCCGACGAGCTCGGGGCCGAATATATTTTAACGTTTCCGCGCGGGTGTTCCGAACGCTTCTCTGCGAGATTAATACAAGACGCTGTTTTTATTTACTATCAGACGTTGTTTAATTCGGATGTCGAGGGCCGCTCGGGCAGTGCGCCCGCTGGAGAAATTCGAACCGAACTATCGGCAAGCGTACGCATATTATTCGGAATTATTACGATTGAGAAAAAAAATACCGCGGACCATCCCCGGCACCTATTTGAAGTGCGGGTGGAAACGAATCGATTTTTTTTTTCCTCGTTGAATTAACCAAACCTAATCTGGGCAACGCAGCGGGCGATTACCCACAGCTATAGTAGTTATACAGTACCTACATTATTGTTATTATAATAATATGAACGGAGACGATAATCGACGAGACGTTGACGAGATTCGCGTCGTCCGCTTTCCGTTTCAAACCCGCCGCTGCTGTAGCTATTGTCCCGTGAAATATAGGTATTGTTATAACCGTTTCCGCTCGCGATCCGAGACGACATTTGTTCCAGAAATGGAGGTAGACTATACATAATAATAATAATAAAATATAGGTTACCTACACCCGGCACTGCGGCCCGAGTATCGGCTGTGGTGTCATTTCCGGAGATTTGTTTTACTTTTACCCTCCTTCCACGCCACCCTTCATGATAAAGCCGACGGGTTTTCGACATGTGTAACATCCAACGGATAAAAATCTTCCGTAGTAATACATAATATTTCAACCATTAATGCACGAATAGGGAAATTCAAAGATTCTGAAGGTGAAACGAAAAACGACTAGATATTAACATTATCAATGAACTCGGGTACCGACAAATCCAAAAGTTGTATAAATCAAACGGTTTTTACGAATCATTTTTCTCGTTTCGATTTGAAAGCCAATTTATTATATTCACGAGACCGCGACACCAGACGCGCTATACTAATATTATATTAAGTGCGCATATTGAATAACGAAAATCGCGTATATGAATTATTATGAATATACGTCGATCTAATATGTTATCCGTGACGAGAAAATAATATACATAAAAGGTTCGGTTATATTATAGGAACCGAGGACAGCGTATCATCAACTCATTCAAACAAATTTTTTACCGGTTTCCGGTTTGATCGTCTTTACTATTATATACATATTATACGTATTATAAAATATGAACGGCGTATTTAGAAATCGGGTTAAATCACGGAAATACATTTAGGTAGGTATATAGTGTTATTCATTATACTACCTACGCGTGTGTATCGGCGGCCCATTCATAAGACCGGATTGAATGACAAAAGACTTGTCGATCCCTTGTCTCTGTTGCTGTATAGTATACGAGCCAGAAAGGGATCTTTCACAAGACGAGTTAGGATAAAAAATTATGTTTAATTCGAATGTGTGTATAGATAATTTTACTTTTATGTACCGTGGGACACTTCCACGTTTCCGTTTTCGTCACGTCATCGTACGCATTACAGTTATGTAGAATAGTATTTCCATGTTAAATAAACGCGCGTAAAAACACAAACGAATTCGTTTGGGCACAGCGGTGTATCTAAAGACGTTTGGGAGGGAGGGTAATGGGGTAATTATACCTCCCCAGGACTAAATGGTGCATTGAATATATTATAATTACTCTAATACTCTCCTTCACCTTAAATAATATTTCTGGTTCCGCCCGTGTTTGGGCGCAGCGTGGAACTAAGGGCTATTTAGATAGTTTTATTTTGGCGTCTATGTAACAACGACTGAGAATAATAATCGGCAATAGACGAGTGGATATTTTTAATATTATATATTTTTGGTACCAATACAATTAATGTTTAAAGCTAGTGAAAACGATTCGTTTTTTCATACATTTAGACCGACGAGCTAGAGTAAAATATACGTTCTTCCAGCAGTCCAACATTTGCTTTGAAAAAGATTTGACTTCACGTTTACCATTTCTGTTTTTTAGAACAAATATTTTCATTTTTTTTTTTTTAGACACTTAAGTACGAGTTAAATTTAAAAAAAAAAATGTTAACTCATAATTAAAATCATAACGAAAAACAAACAAAATGTTTCCAATAAAACATAGACAAAAAAAAAATCGAATAATTCAAAATATAATATTTTTTAAACATTTAAATACGGTGATAGGTATCGGATAAATTTTACTTAAGATTATCGGTCTAAATCGCCATTCGTTCGTAGAAACCGCTGCACTTTTTCCCCTTAAATGGATATCAAATAGTAGAAAAATCACAAAAAATCCGTACCGCATGTATGATTCGGAGGTGATTATACTATATAGTATTCCTCACGCCGACGTACGTCGTAACGCTAAGTGTATACTGTTGATCATCGTGTTTTCCAAAAATAAAAAAAAAACCTTCTTTATAGTATACAATATAATAAACGAACGTGCCTATACTATATTATCACGAAAACAACAATCAGAACGTGTAAAAAAAAAAAATCTTCGTTTTTTATTTTTTTTATTCCACGCAGTATTTGTATACACGCGCGAAAACGAGGTAGGGTATTAACTATTATTATCATATATATAAATATGAATATACACGCACTAATGTCGTTTCACTTTCACTGCAGTGGTACCGGGACTTCCCGGGGGATTTGATCGTGTATACCTACATCACAATCGGTACACAGTAAATGTGCTTCACTAGTTCTATACACACATACAATATCATACTCGGTGTAGTTACACAGGGTGATCAACAGAACGTAATAAAACATTATCTTGGAAAGTATTAGCTTTTTTTTGGAATTTATTTTCAGGCGACCATTTAGGGAACAAGTAACTCTAAAATGTCACGTCACGGTTATTTTTACGGTTGAAACAACTGCCTAATACTTTTGATTTTCAAACGGCAACCTATAGTGAAAATTCCATAAATTGACGGTGTATTAGTTTAAAATAAATTCTGGCGTTGAAATTTACGATTCCGTCGACCGGTCGATGAGATATTCCACTTTAAGTTTGGTTATGGGTAGAGTGGTGGAACACAATTTAAACGCCGCAGGCCGAAACTAGTAGACGGGGGAATTGACGACTTGGCGGAAATTAAAAATGTCAACACCGACAATAATGATTTAAACTAATACACCGTATATTTATGGAATTTCGAAAATAGCTAGCTATTTTAAAATCGAAATCAGGTAGTAGTTTCGACATAACTAAAGAAAAATTTAGTAATTTAACATTTCAGAGCTGTTATCTTTTTAAAACGTTCTAAAACAACCAAATTCCGAAAAAAGTGACCGGTTTCCGAGAGACAACGAGTGTCTCGAGGCGTCAAGTCGATCGCTCTGTATATTCGACTCTGAGTAATTTGTCGATCGATAGTATCCGTTAAACGTGCCCGTCCGTCTCGTCCCACAATCGCGCGCTTTCCCGTCGCGAAACTTCAAAGCGCAGACAAGTTTAATAATAATAATAATAATATCGTACATTTATTGTGCGTGCTTATATACCTGTACACAATATTATAGCCGTAATACCTGTACACAGATATTGTATAGATGTACTATCAGTTTTGTACCGCGCAACGGCGGCGGCGTTGCGTCGTCCGGTAAACGTGGGAATGCCGATACGGATGAAATCTGCGGTCCCACGGTAGGTCACCTGTTGCCGACGGTCGTCGTCGAGTCGTCCGGACCACCACCGCAAGTCGTGTGCACCGATACGCCCTGTGCCGCCGTTTTCGAATTGGGTTTTGCAACCAGTCACTGTGACACGAAATAAATGTGTAAAATGCTGACGGACAGAAAAAAACACACACACACACACACACCGCACTTAATAATACGTTTTGTTATTATTATTATATTTTATTATTATTAGGGACTTTTTTTTTTTTTAATAATTATTATTCGGTTCTGTGACCATAAAAATAATTGTACTAGTTGATAATCTAATAGCTATACCTACCTACGTGTTTACGCGTGATTGGGTCGAACCGAACGAACCGTTTAATAGTAGTGATTACACATACGTACAGTACAAATGTGCCATAAATCCCGAATATCTAAAAATTCAGTTTTCACATAATTACCATGGGGTATTTGTTTATTAAATCTAAAAACCAATTGCGGGAGTGAAACTTCTTTACGGAGGGTAATCGAAAAAAAATTATCGTCACGACATCTATTTACGCGGCGCAGTGGGAATATCTCGAGTGCGTCGTTTTCAATTTTTATCTTTTTCATAGGCAGAGTGCCCCCGCGGTTTTATCGACAAATTATGTTGAATTTTCCGAATGCGTCGTATATTAATACTACTGTAGGTAGGTGCGAATTTTTATACCTAATTTTAAATCTGATAGACTAAACAATCGATAAACTGATTGGTGTGTTAAAAGTTCAGTCACTTATAACGATTGAATGATGGCAATTTTATAAAAAGAGTAACATTCAAACACCAACTGTATAAACCAACAAGATATTTTTCTGGTGTAAACCAGTTTACCTTCTCGTAGTGCATCTTTGTTAACTCAAAATGAACTGGGGCGCATCCTGGCTACGTTGAAAAAATAATCTTTTTTTATTGGGACACACTCGAATGATACCTTATTCGAGACGCATTCAGGACATTGAAAAAATGTAATTTAGGGACGCACTTGAGTAATTCCGGATAACTTGGGTAACAGTACCAGCCGATCGGTCACGGGTTTGATTCTCAAACTCATTAATTAATTTTTTGCATTTTTTTAAAAAAATACTTTTTACATAACAATATACTTAATAAATTTCGTATAGCATCACTCCACATTCTACCCCTCTGCTGTATTCATATATAGTATATACCCTCATATAACTTCTCTATCCGTTTAGCATGTCGTGACGATAATTTTTTTCAATTACTCTACGCACAGAAGTTTCACATTTAAAGATCGGTTTTTGCAGTTTGTTTAATAATTGTGAAAACCGGGAATATTTATGGCAATAACGATTTCGTTATTTGCGGTTTTTGTTTTTCTTCGATTGCAATTCGGTAACAACAATCGTAGAGATCTAAAATTCGCATATAATATTTATATTGGGCTTTTCTAAACGTGGTAAAATGTTCAAAATATTCTGAAGATTTTTGAGCTTTTTATACGCATTTGACTTGTTGAGTGTAGAAATCATTACGTTCCAAAACATATGTTTTGTTTTGAAACAGCTAGAACCTAGCTTAGAACCGTACTTCGTTATCAATGATTTATCGTTGATATATTCCAACTTCTTATCCACAACAGTGGCACAGCCATCAGAAGTATCAGCTGTTATTGTTTTATTATGAACGTATAATATCGTACGTACTCACGAGAGTCGGTTTGCGTTTAGGGAAGTCGAGAGGGTACGGAGAGGCCATATTGTTATACTCGTGACCATTGTGCGAAAACCGACTTTTAATAAAACTAAATCTTACTACACTATTATATTCATCAGTGCGTGAGTAAGTCCGTTATTATATTTTGTTTTATGGCATTATTAAATTATTACCTATTTAATATACTGTACGACTTTGTTTTTAAAGGGTCGCGTGGTTTTTTTTTTTGTTTTCAGTCCCTCGATATAGTTGATTCAAATGCGATAAAATACAGTCTTGTACGTATAAGTCTTTGGTGCATTGTAAACCATAAGAATAATATAATATTTATAATAATAAAAATCCTATTTCAATTTTCAGATATTTTATTTAGATTACATCGTGAATTACAATATAATGGTCGAGTGTAATGTTTTACGATATATTAAGTATAAAGTTATGAATTATTTCCTGACATTTCCTGATGTGTACATAGGAAACGGGTGATTTTATTGATATTCAATTATACAGCAATGGCAATCCTCGAACAATTCAATGAACAACACAAATAATTTGGCCGTTAAGACACTTATTCTGCAGCGCTTATATAGGTATACATATCCATACGTGTTTTTTAATTTTCAATAAACCGGACATTTTAAGAGAGAGCAAATGGTAATTTTTTTAATTTTCTATAGGCAATGTAAAACAAATAAATTCGATAAGAAGTTTAACTTTGAAACGTTGATGAAAAGGAAACGAAACACGATGAACAGGTGGTACGATTCGTGTTTATTTTTTTATGGTCATGAAATTGTATTAAAAATATTATAATAGTAGGATACGCGTCGTGTAGGTACTTATTCGATTTTTTTACAATAAGTACATGCATACTAAAATGGTTCATTAGGTTTAAGAAAAAAAAAAAAAAAACGTTGTCGAGCAAAATATCTATGCAAATGGATTACGTGCATTATACACCGTCTATAGAATAGTATGCTATTGTTTAACTTATAATAATGTATATAACTATTAAAAGTTATAGTACATTATGCCCAAGCAGCTGCAAGATACGTAATAGTAAACACAAATAAAACTTACAAATATGTACGTTCGTGAGTGTGTGAAGGTGAAACGCATTGTACATAATAAATTAAGTACAATTTTGATAAAGTTTTTTTTTTAGAAATATTTCACTATCTATTGATAATAGATACAATACAACCCGTACAAATATTAAGTTAATTTTTATGTTCTCATTAAAATAAATAAAATATATATGTAAAGGTATTTAAATAAATCAATTCAAAAGAAGCCAGTTTTAGATTCTGAGCGAAGTTTGATTTTCTAAGCGGTTTTCATAAGTATTTACGAAATATATTATTTTAAATTTTGTTTTAATTATAATTCAATTAAAAATATGTGAAGGGACATGAAGTTAGGACAAAAAATTGTATTTATCTTTTCTAAACTTAGTACTTAGTACCTTAGTACTAAATAATAACCCTTTACCAAATTCAAGCTCAATAAAATATTTAGGAATAACTATTGACAAAAGACTCACATGGAAAGAACATACCACAAAGAAAAGAAAGCAATGCAACGCGCGCCTTCATCTTCTCCGCCCAATTTTGAAATCTAAACTTAGTTTAAAAAACAAAATTCTCATATACAAAGTTATACTAGCTCCCATTTGGACATACGGCATCCAAATATGGGGACAGGCCAAGCCGTCTAACATCCGCCCACTAGAAGCTTTCCAGTCAATAAGTCTACGTGTAATCACAGGGTGTCCATGGTATGTCACAAACCAAAACCTACATAACGATTTACATATTCCAACACCAAAAAGATTAGCCCATCAATACTATAAAATTTTTCACAACAAACTATCAAAAAATAAGAACCCTCTTATCTCTCAAATGTCCTCTCTAACTATACCAGGAAACCCT